ATGATTGTAGTGTTCGTCAGGGCAGAGCCTCCCACCTGCTCCGTCGTTCCCACTTTATCCTCTAAGGTTGTTCTCATCGTCAGCGGATCACAGCCTAACTCCGTCGTTCTCACTTTATCCTCTAAGGTTGTTCTCATCGTCAGCGGATCAGATCGTCAGTGGATCGTAGCCTAGCTGTTTTCCAGTGGTCGGTGGTGCTTCCTCTCCTTCCAGTTGTGTTACCGTCTCCATTTGTCTTTGGTCTCGATTGTTTTCCTTTTCTTAGATGCATCACCAGCACTTGCACAGGATTTATGCTCTAGAGTCATGGTTACAGAGGTAAATAAGAGGAAAAGTTAAGCCAGATACAAAAATTCAACTTAAAAAGGCAGATGGCTTACTCCTCCTTCAAGCGGAAGCATCATTGAAGCCTAGGCCACAAAGTAGTGCGTGTTTAACTCCACTTTTTCATACGATGAGCTTTATGGCAGTCAGTTCTTAAGTACGCGTTGTCCGTGAGTCAGATGTTCTTTCTGTGCTTCGACGTTTTTCACGTGGGCCATTCAGTGGTGGTGTTCCCCACGTGGTGCTGCCACCACCACCGTCCGTCTGCAGATTGTTCCATCATCTTTGACAGAAGCAGATTGTTCCATCATCTTTGACAGAAGCCAGTGTCCCCTAAGCAACAGCTCCCTTCTTGGAGGTCTCTCTGGTCTTTTTTCCTTCCCTGGGGGGCCCCCCCTCAGCCTGAGCTGGGGAGGGGCAGGTGCTGCGATGCTCAGGGGGTCACGGTTCTGTGTCCCTGGGCTGTGGGCTCAGGGCTGAGGCCGAGGCCAACGCCGTAACTGTCGGGACAGAGCCTAGATCTCCAGGCTGCAGTCACCACTGACAGTCAGAATCTGCAGCCACAGGCTAGAGGGTGGGTTTTACAAGTCAGGACAGGCTTCCCTGTGCATTCCAGGACACTGCTGAGGGAAGAACAGAGCCACGGCGGTTTCTTGTTTTTCACTTGTGTCCTAACCCCCTCTTTCCTGCCTCATTAATGATACGGTGAGACTCTGCCTATAGCAGGTTTGGTAAAACCGGTTTCTGGAGCAACTGGCTGTCTGGTAATGTGACTCTTTCTTCCATGTCTTTAGCTCTGTCTTCTCTGTTTGTTCCTCGCCCCATGCCTGTCGTCCAGGGTAACAATCATGGGTGCTTGGTCCATTCTCACACTGAATTCCTGGAACATGAGGCAGGATGTGCACAGAGGGGGTCTGTGGGTCTTTGTTTGGGGTGTGCTTTTCCCCCCCTTTCCTACCTTCCCCTGCCAGGTTAACAGCTCCAGGAGGTCATAAAGGAGTAAACGGTGCAGCGCGCCCAGAGGCTGTCACGGGGTGCTTCCATTGCATGGAACTTGACTTGCCTCAGTGGCCACTTGAGGGCGAATGGTGCTGGAGATCATCGTTGGGGTACTTGTCACCTCCCTCCAACACCCACCTTACCTTTCTTGCTGCGCGCTCCTCTTCCTCCTCCTCCTCGCGACTGGGAGAAGGTGACTCTGTAGCTCCCGGCACAGGGCGGGGTGTGATGTTAAGCTGCTTTGGCTGAGTGGGCACTTTTGGATCCAAAAGCCCTTGGTGGTTTTTTTTTTTCCTGAGCAAGGAGTCTCTTCCTGGGCAACTATCTGTCCAGAACCCCACTCAGTGCAGTGACCTGACTGCCCAGGGCTCGGTAGGTGCACAGCCTATTCCGTTCATCTCAGGTCAGGAGAAGGAAGTTCTAAAATGTGACAAGACGTGGCCACCAGGAGGCACAGATGTCTTCAAAGTCCTGAGAGAGAGCTGGTGACATGAGCGGGAGATTACAGAGCCTTCCAGGGAGCCTCTGTGCGCTTCCTGAGGCTGCCAACCTGTGGAAGCTCGTTCACACCTCTGCCCTTAGGCCTTTCAAAGCCGGAGAAACTGCTAAGAGTTGGGTCCATGTTCCATTGGTCAGCACTTGGCTCAGACACCCTGAAAGTCAGGGGCCGTGGAACTGGACTCCGTAGGGGAGATTGGTTGGGCTTGTTCATGGGCTGCTGGGTTCAGAGGAAGAGTCCATAGCTCTGGGCACTCCCCATGTTTTGTTTTGTTTTGTTTTTCCGTATGAAGAGAGTAGAAAAGCAAAGACTAGACTCCGGGGCAAATAGAACTAAGTGGAGAAAAATTAATTTTGGAACGAGGAGCCCAACCAAACATAGAAGAAGACTGAAAGGAGGGGAAAATGCCTCCTGTCCTGTAGTGCCCCATGCATTGAATCGACTCGGTGGCGGCAGGTTTGGATTCTTGCTCTGTGATTTGCCTGAGCAGACAGCTAATCCAGGCAGGGCCTTGTGAGACATGGGAATCCACCGCCCCACCCCCGTTGCCAGGATCACAAAAGCCACAAGAAACCACAGGGAGGTACCTAACCCAAGGAGCCCCTGAAGTAAACAAGCATTGTCTCCTTTGAAGAGACATTGCACACTTGGTGGTTAAATTGCTGTGACTCTGGGTAGACAGGAGTTCTGGTGGTGCTGTGGTTAAGGCATTTGGCTGCTAACCAGAGAGTCTGCGGTCCAAACCCACCAGCTGCTCTGCGGGAGGAAGGTGAGGCAGTCTACTTCCGTAAAGATTTACAGCTTTGGAAACGCTATGGGGGTCTGTATGAGTTGGAATCAACTTGATGGCAATGTGTTTTCGTGGGTCTGGTTAGACATGTTAGAATCCCAGTGTGGACAGCTGGCCCCTCTGTCCTTAGATTGGCTGTGGCCCAGGACAGGGGCTGGCACGGTGTGGTGCTTGGGGACTGGTGGGGCATGGAGGCCTTTGCAAGAGTTAGCAGAGGATGTACCGGTGATGCTTTCCCACACTTGGCGCCCAGAAAGCTGTCCCCTGGAGGGAACATTGGAGGAAATGGTGCAGTCCCACATTTTGTGACTGTCACTCAGAGTCACTGCCACAAAGGGATTGTTGTTGGTCCCCGGAGATACCGGCCCGCTCTGGAAAGCGGGTAAGCTGTGACTTGTGACCCAGCCAGCGTGGGGAGTGGCAGTCCTCCAGGCCGCCCCACCCTCTGCCCACCTGATTGGTGGCTGGAGGCCACGGTAGCTGAGCCGCCTGGCATGGCCGTCACCCTCTTCCGTGGTGACAGAATAGCCACAGTGTGAGGAGAAAGAAGGGTGTCTGGCTGTCGGGGCTCAGGAGGGACCTTTGAGGAAGGGGGCTGCTCAGGACACTGCAGTTGGGGGTGCACTTGGCAGGGGAGGGGGTTCCGTAGCCTTCTCTGCGCCATCCTTCCTGCGACACACTCCGTGTGGTGTTTCCCCAGGTGAGGGGTCCACAGAGCTCTGCTGCTCTCCTCAGGTGGCCTTGTTGCAGGGTCATGCCGAGTTGTTCTGGCCTTCCTCTTCCCTCACTACCACCCTCTTCTGTGAACTCCCCGTTTGGGTTTTGGTCGTCAGCCTGTTAGCTACTTGAGAGCCTTGCTCTGTATTTGAGGGACTGGGTGTCCCCAGCCCAGAAGTGGGACACCAGAGGCAAGGAAAGCCCTTCATCCCCCATCTGCCAGGAGCTTGGACCATGAGGTTGGGCTGCTGCCTTCTCTGTGTTGACTGATCTGGGTGAAGAGTTAACTGCAGAAGAAGCAGAGCATGTCTGGAAGGCGTCAAGGAGAGCCTGAGCTGGGAGGCCACTGATGCAGCTGGAGCTGCGGCCGGTGGGGAAGCAGTGCTGCGGGCAGCCGGGCACGCGAGGGCTCGTAGCGCTTTAACTCGGGCAGCATGTGAAACCGATGCAACAAGAGCTGTGAGGTGGGAGCCAGCGGCCCAGCATTCACTCAAAGCCTGCTCCCACTTTCCACATGCTGCCCTTTGTCCTGAGATGCTGTCTCTCCTTTCTGCTTAAACGGAAAAACAGAAACCTCATCGGAGCAGCTAATCTTCTGTGTTGTAGTTATGGGTTCTTTTCTTTAATTTTTTATTGTGATTTGGGTGCAGATTTACAAAGCAGATTTATTTCACTGTCAACAATTGATGCACATTTGGGTTTCACTCCCCGATTACAATCGGAACAGTGAACAGCTCTCCTCCCCTCTCCTCCCTGTGCCCACCCCTTCCCTGTGCCCTTCTTATCCGTGCCTTCCTGTCTGCCCGGCTTTCCCTCTGTGTGAGTGCTGTCCTTCTGATGTCTCACAGGTGGTTGATCTAGGGGTTGCATCTCCCTGGGGTAGGTGAGAGCATTGCCCTGGGGCAGGTGTTCTGCTTGTAGGCCTTTGTAGCGTTTGGCTGAGAGCCAGTTCATGGAGGTGAGTCCAGTTCTAGGCCCAAAGGATAACCTGGGGCTGTAGTCTTGGGGGTTCCACCAGTCTCTGTCTGACCAGTAATTCTGGTTGTTTTTGTTTTTGAATTTTGTCCCACATTTTACCTCCCACTCTGTCCACGATCTCCAATTTTAATCCTTTTCTGAGTGGTTGGCGTTGGTAGTCGGGCACCATCTAGTTCTTCTGGTCTCAGGATTGTGAAGGCTGAGGTCCCTGTGGTCCATCATATTCTTGGACTTATTATTTCCAAGTCATGGGATTCTGATGTTACAAGGTGGTTGCCTTATATTTCTTTGGGACTGGCAGTCAGGGTAGTGGTGCTTCTGGTGGCTGGCCTGACTCTCTGAGTGAGAGATAGCTGGACCTTAGCCATGCACTCGGTCCCGGCATGCTCCTTGGAGCCAGGGGAGGGCAGGACAGGGTGCAGGGGCTTGAGGGGCTTGCTGGCCTTGGCTCTCCTCCACGTGCCATTGTGGGTATTGGTCGCTGGTGGAGTCTGGGGTGATTGAGCCGGAGTGAATCTGCAGCCTCCAGCTGTCATGATGCTGGAGAAGGGGCTGAGGCCCTGGCCCCTAAGGCCCTGGGACACTGGCCCACGACACTGCTCCTCCTTGAACCACACTGCCAGCCCCACTAGAGGGAGTAGCATGGGCCGGGGTCGGGGCTCACCTCCTCGTATTTCCATTTCTCTGTTTCAGGATAACGCCGAGGTGGAAAAGCGAGACCCCCAGGAGTTAGTGGGTAAGTTGCCCAGGGGAGCCTCAGGGGCATGGCTCAGAGCCTGGCCCCAGAGCTGGCTTCCTGCCTACAGGGCCCATAGCCCATGGGCTTCTCTCTGCTTCTGCCAGAGCAGCTGCTCTGTGGAGCATGCGTCTCGGAGCACTCCCTTGCAGGGCCCTTGGCATCCACTAAGATGTCTGCATAAGACACCCAGGGAACAATTCTTCCTTTAACATCAGATTCAGGGTGCGTTTCATCGGTCTCTGGTCAGCTGCCAGTGTTGTCAAGAGGGAATTCAGGGCCCCTTCAGCTCAGAGCTCACTCCCCTTGTGCCTGGGCCCAGTCCTCTGTCTTGGCACCCCTCCTCCCCCTCCACTGGCATATTCGTGTTGCCCGAGGACTGACCACGTGGCCTCTGTTGGCACTGCGATCAGTCCGTAGGCGGGGACATGCCTGGCAGCCCAGAGTCTGGGACCCTCTGTGACTTAGAAGGAGCAGGGAGGTGGTGTTTCTGGATAGCAGTACATATGTCATCAAGGTTTGTGTCACCCCAGCCTCTCAGTCCCCTTACAAAGCCCCTCAGCTCTTTCACTCTGGCTAAGAACTTTTTAACAGCTCTCCCAGAGCCTGACCCAGGGGAAGTTCCAGGCCATCTGAATCCAGACCTCAAGGGGGTGGCTCTTCCTCTCTGGTGGCCATTACCCTCTCTTCTGGCCTGTTCCGTGAGTTTTCACAAAGTAGGACTCCTGGTTGCGGCTCTGCTTTGGACGGTGGCCCCCAAGGCCATCCTGTGCTTCCTCTTCAGGGCCATGACTCACACACACCAGCCCCAGAGACTCAAAGTCCAGGACATAGCCTGAGAGTGCTGCTTCCCACCTCCTGCTGACCAGTCCTTTTCTAAAGAGACTCCTGTCGCTAGGGTGCAAGGTGGCAGCCATTTTGTCCCTGAGCACAAGGGGCCAGGGAGTTTGCTGTCCAGAAAATGGTGCTTTAGGGGTGCAGCAGTTGGCTCTGTGGGCAAGGGATGCAGAGCCATGCCTGCCAGTGAACCTGGGGCCTCTGTCTGCCCCCCCACACCCTGCTGTTTACTGCTGAGACAACGTGCAATGTGGAGGCAGAGAGCAGCCAGTCCTCGCGCCAGGACTGCCAGGATACAGTACTGTCCTCTACTCCTGCTGGCAATTCCGGGCGGGCAAGTGGGCCGCAGGTGGAATGTACGTGGGTGTCAGCTGCCCGGCTACCGACTTCTCCCATAGCTGCTGTCACTTTTTCTCCCCTTACCCCTTTTTTCAGTAGCTTCAGTGAGGTGTAATTTACATGCAGTGGGATTTGCCAGTTGTAAGTGCAAGTGCCATTGGATGAGTTCTATCACTGTCACAGTGATAGAAGTGGTTCCATTGCCCTAAAGCATCCCCTGGGCAGCCCTGCCTTGCAGACGGATTCCTCCCTCAGAGTCTCAGGCAAGCAGTGATCTGCTTTCATCGGTGCAGTCTCACCTTTTCTAGAATTTCCTAGCAATCAGGGTCTCTCGCCCTCAGCACTGTTGACGTTTTGGACGGATCATCTCTGTTGGAGGGTGTCCTGTGCGTTGTGGGATGTGTAGCAGCATCCCTGGCCTCTACCGTTTGCCAGTAGGAAGCCCCCTTCCCAGTTGTGACAATGAAAACTGTCCCCAGATGCTGCCCAGCATCCCCTGAGGAGGCCAGTGGCCCCGGTGGAGAACCACTGATACAAATGGAGTCGTGCTGTCTGTCGGGTCTTCATTGCTTGACACGATGCTTTTGAGGTTCATTCACGTTGTTGATCTTTTCCACGGCTTCTTTCTTTTCATTGCCAAGTAACGTCCCATTGCAGAGATTCACCCCAATCCATCTCCTACTCCCTCACCAAAGACACAGGTGGCCCTCTTGAATCTCAGTCTGGAGCACTCTTCCCGGTTCTCAGTGAGGAGGTAACAGTGGCTTCCCCTGATGGCGCTCGGTCCCTCTGCCTGCGCTCAGCTCCTTGTGCCACTTCTGGGTGTCAGGCCCCACAGGCTGCCCACTTGGGCCTGGAAAGCACTTCACCTGTGTAGACAGCACCTGTTCCAGGGGCAGATGAGAGGACAGAGAAGCCAGCCCTAAGCCTCTCCTGCTTGGGGGAGCAGCCAGATGCCCTGCCCCTGCCTGGTGCCACACCAGCACCCTCCCAGTGCCCTGGGTATCACACTGTTGGTGGCTGGTCCAGTGGCTTCTCTGTGTCACTGATGAATGACGGACACTGCTGCCTCCGTCCCTCAAGGAACCCCTAGAAGCATCACGTAACGCCACCTGACCTGCAGGCATCTCCTGCCCAGATCCATACTTGGCAGCTCTGGATGCCATGAGTGTTTTCTGGTTTGAGTGTGCACAGGAGTGAGTCGTGCTGACGGCAGTGCGGTGTCCTCGTAGAACACCCCTAGCAGGTCAGCAGCAGCCCTACGCCACCACTGCCTGAAAGGGTCTGGGGACACATTTCCTGGGAGGATGCTTGAGGCTTTGTGGCTGCTCAGGTAACAGCCTAGGTGGGTCTGATGGCTTCTCCATTAGACGTATTCTGGGGCTTAAGAAAGAAACTCACCAAAAGCATGCTCCTGAGTGACCCGTGGGGTCAGCTTTCATCTCCGTGTTCTGGCTGTGTCCCCTTTTTTGCCGGTTACTTCCTTGCGATTCTCCTGCTTTTAGGAACACGGGGGTGTCCCCACCTGGTCATACTGTGCCTTTGGAGCCCCAGATGTGATTGGGTTGCTGTGGCAGCAAGGCCACACCCTGTTTTTCCAAAAGACCCTCCTGACAGATGCCAGAGGACACCTTTGTCACACTGCCACACATACACACACATGCACTCTTAGCCCAATGAAGCACTTCACCCGCTGTGCACACGCCCAGACCTTTTGTTACTTCTGCTCATGAACTCAGGACCAGCCCATCCCAGCTAACTCCACTCCCAGCGGACCTCTGCTGCCTACTTGAGCTGAGAGCAAGGAGGAAGTCAAGACTGGACTTGAACTCCAGCCAGACCTGGGTGTCGCCTTGGCTCCAGGAGGCAGGAGGAGGGTGCTGGGCAAGAGAGGCACACGGTCCCCTGGACGCTGCCTTTGGGCTGCACTAGTGGGTCAGGTCCACGTAGGACCATCCATTGTCTGCAGGTCACCTGGTCTCCATCCCCCTGCTCTCACTCGAAATGGCTGTCAAGTGCTGTGCTCTCGGGGCGTCCAGTGAGATCCAGGATGACAGGGAAAATCACATATGTATGGTGCCACGTGGCTGCGTTGGTGTCGAGCCCTCTGCCAGTCTCGGTGTATCTGCAGTGTGTGCGGCCTTGTATGGCAGCAGCTGGGACTGGCAAGGTCTGGTTGGGGCTTATCCCAGGCCCCGCCCACCCAGTATGGCGTGCTTTGTGGGCATACTGGAAGCCGAGGCACAGATCAAGCTGCTTATCTGCTGAGAAAATATTAACCCAGCTTTGGGAGAGGGGAAGGGGCAGGTGTGCAGGGCCAGCCCGGAAAGCTGTTCTGAGCAGTGGGTTAGTCCAGGGCCTGGCACCAAGGAGGCACCCAGTCAGCTCTTGCTAAGTGTTACTGGTGGAGGTTTGCTCATTCTTTGCCCCCATCCTGCCACACCCCGCTGTGCCTGCTGATTGCACACTGGGTGGCTCTGTTCATGAGAGAATGTTCTACAGAGCTCGGACAGAATCTTCCAACAAACAGCACATTGTCTGAGCCATCTGCAGCAGGACTCGGCGCAGCCAGGGTGGCCAGAGGCTACAGGGAGGGGGTGGAGAGAGATGGGGGCAGTGGTGAACTTCTCCTAGAACCGTCCCCCGGGGGTGGGGCTTTCCCCATCAGAAGCAAGCCTTTTATTCGCAGGAATGAGGTAGACCAGCAGAGAGCTGGTTGGTTTGGTTTTATTTTTTGTTTTTTAATAAATGGCCCTAAGTTAATTTTTAACTTGGGCAGTTTTTAAATGTCATTTATTCACAAGGCATAGTTCTAGAGGCTATGGGAACCAAAGCCTCGGGAACCCCGTTTCCCTTGGAGCCTGGGCACGTCTGCCTGTGAGAAGGCTGGCCCCTGGTAGCTCTGAGTGTCACGAGTCCTCGAGGGGTCTTAGACCCACAGCCAGTGGTGGGCCTGCGCTGGCGGGACCTGCTCACACTCTGTGCACCTCCTCCCCAGCTGGGCTCAGTGCCCTCACATTGGTAGCTTGGAGTTGACCGCTGAGGGAGAATTTACACCAGGGAGGGTGGCTACAGGCTGTGGCTCCCTTTCTCTCCCGAGCTGGTTGCTGAACGTTTGCCAGCACACGACTGCCCGCTTTTGCTGAAAGTGAACTAAGGCTTGCCGGCCTGCATTCTTTTCACCTGTGCCTTGTGCCCAAGCTGCTTGTCCCCGACATTGACACCAGCTGGCTCCTTCTGCGCATTTGATCTCAACTCAGGTGACACCCTCTACAAGAAGCCACATCTGAACATCCCACCCCATCTTACTGTTTTCACAGGATTTATTCCTCTTGGCGTAGCATAGTGTTAAAACATTCTGTTGTTAACCAGAAGGTTGGCTGTTCAAACCTACAAGCTGTTCCACAGGAGAAAGATGAGGCATTCTGCTTCCGTAAAGATTTATGGTCTTGGAAACCCTATGGGGCAGTTCTGCTCTGTCCTTTACGGTCTCTGTGTCCTCTGTGGTCAGAATCCACTTGATGGCAGTGGGTGTGGTTTGATGGAAAAGTTTATGTGCTCATTTTGTTACTGTCCTTGTCTGTCCTCATCCTAATCCCTCACCTATAAAATTGTTCTCTGTTCTCTCAACAGCCTCGTTTTCTGAAAGAGTCCGGAACATGTCACCTGATGAGATCAAGATCCCCCCAGAACCCCCTGGCAGATGTTCAAATCACTTACAGGTAAGCACTCAGCTCTGCTGCTGAGGCTGGCGTAGCTCAGGTGGCCCAGCCACCGAGGCCAGCGTGAGTCACGTGGCCCAGCAGGGAAAGGGGCTGAGGCTTCTGCAGAGGAGGCAGCCCAGAGGGAAGGACCCCTGGTCCTGACCGCAGGCGTCCACGCCCTGCCACATCACCTCGTGCCTCTCTCCTGGGACCCCCAGGCCTGCCGCAGGCCTGGGCAGAAAAAAAAATGGCATACCTATTCTATGCAGCCCAGCCAATGGGAGCCTCAGAGAAGGAACTCTGCTGAGAAACTGAGGGCCAATCAAAGCGTAAACCGGTGATGGGAACGCAGACACAGCGTTCCAGCGCATGAAGTTTTTCTCACACTCAGGCCTGCAGGGCTGGCTCATGGCTTCTCGCCTGGCAAAGCCTCGTACAAACCTAGCCTGAGGTGTGGAAATCCCAAAGAGTGAGAGCGGCACCTTGGGACATGGTTGGGGTCTATAGGGTAATCTTGTCAGTTCCCAGTGACTAACAACAGAGCAGACAGCAGTGGTCTTCCTCTAATCCCCCAGTGTCTCTGGCCTCGCTCAAGCCCATGGCACCCCCCTACGGACGGGTGACTAATGGGCCCTGGGGCTGAGGAATGCAGCAGGCTGGGCCAGGGTCAAGGCCGGGTGTGCAGCACAGCACAGGTGCCCTTCTTTCCCCGGAAGACTCCTCCCTGGGCTGAGTCGTCAGCCCCCTACCCCCAATGCAGGGCAACAAGCCACAGCATGTGAGGAGTGGCCCCCAAGATCTGGCGGGCACCGAGAGTGGTCAGCTGAGCCCTCCAGCTGAAGGCATTCCTTCTCCTTTTTAGACCCTCCTCCTTGCGGTAGAAAGGTGACTCTGAGCAGACGTTTCCATTCCCCCAGGAGGTTGAGTGGGACTTGGCCTGGGAGATGATGGTAGGTCATCTCTCAGCTCCAGGCTCACCTCAAGTTGCCAAGTGCCCTGTCTATACAGGCCAGGGGGAGGTGATGTTGAGGAAGAGCTTTGTCACTCCTGGCTTCTCTTGTCCCTGGGAATCGTGTTATACACCTCTCTGCAGTTCACACTTTCTCACGCCCACTCTCGGCAGAAAGGGCTGGCCTCTGTCGGGCGTGAGCCCATCTTCCAATGTTTCTGGAAGGCGTGATAGGGTACCGCCAGCCCTGGCCACCTCCTACGTGTGTACCCCTTTGGGAGAACCTGTATGCATTGTTGCCGCTGGGGGGAGGCTGCAGCTTGGCCTGGAGCTGGGACAGCACCCTCCTTCCTAGGTAAGCCTGTGCATTCTCAGGTGGCTCTGTCCTGTGCCCATCACGGGGACTCGGGTTTCTTGGGCCTTTTTGCTGGCACCGGGCAGCACAGATCTCACGTACTGGGGACATTGTCTCCACGAGCCTGGGGAACACCTGTGGTACTGGTGGTGGTACGTGAGCCTGGCTCTCCACCAGGTGGCTCTCCTGTTTCCCATCTAGAGCTAGGCCAGGGGCCTGGGACAGAGGGGCCTGGGGTTGATGAAGGTAAGAGGTGAGCCCTAGGGCCTTGATAGGCCATAGGGTCTGGCTACCTCTGAGTCGCCCACATTCTAGAAGCCTGTGTGACCAAATCCTGCCTTCCTCCAAAAGGACTCTTCCCGGGTCTCCTGTGACCCCTGGATCCACAGAGCCCTTAACCTCATGTGAAAATTTAAAACCACCAATCACTGCCTCTAGCTCCATGCCTTAAATTCACCTTTAGGTCCTGATAGCCAGTCAGCAGTGTGTCTGTTGTCTTCTCTGTGTGTGTCGGCTGGTTTGATGTGTGTAGAATATACGTGTAACAGAGCATTGCCACTGAACATCCTTCACGTGCAGAGTTCAGTGACACTAACTTAGTTCATCCCATGCATCCGTCATCTGCCTTGATCTTGCACTTCCCTGTCTTGACCACCTGAAGGGAGTCGGGAGAAATCTGACAGTAGGCCCCTCTCAGTCTAGCAGACTTTGGCAGCTCTGTCCACAGGCCATGGAGGAGGAAACAGTGGCTGATGCTCGGCTCCGTGTGGCCCCGTGGGTCACCAGCACTCTTCCCTAGCACAGTAGGACCACACACAGGGCTGGGGTGGGTGGAGTTCCATCAGAAGCACCCTTCTGCTCTTCTGCAGGACAAGATCCAGAAACTCTATGAGCGGAAGATAAAGGAGGGAATGGACATGAACTACATCATCCAGAGGAAGAAGGAGTTTCGGAACCCCAGGTGGGTTTCCTATGAGCCTGCAGGGCCAGTTGAGTCATTGATGTTGGACTGGAACCAGGGTGCCCCTCAGAGGCGGTGGGAGAGGTGAGAAGCCCAGCTAAGATCCTACCTGAGGCCGGTCTGTGGATATGCTGAGCATATGTGAGACATTGCAGACTGTGTGAGACGCAGCTGGTGGCATCCACACCATCCAGACTAAACTCGGTGTGCCAGTCTAGACTAGAGAAGCAGGAACCCTGCGCTGGGGTGGCATCTGGCTGGGCTCTGGCCCTGCTCTGCTTCTAAAGTCCACACCCTCTCTAGGCCTGTTTCCTCATGTGACAAGAGGGGTTGGGCCAGGAGATCACTGTGGTTTCTTCCTCCAACTCTAAGAAGCCATTGATCCTAAATGCAGGGGACAGGTTAGGGATGGAGCTGTTCTGAGTCTACTCTGTCCAGTGTTCGTGTGGCGAAACCTCAGAAACCAGGCTGTAGGGTGATGGCTGGGCTCTGCCCTGGCCCAGTGTGGGCCTGAATGTGTGCCTCTGACCGAGCCACAGACAGAGGGTCAGAGATGTCTGGGTACACCTCCGAACCCAGCCATGACTACAGCACTGTCGTCCTGGCCACCATCTTACTGCAGGGTGGAAGGGCCCTGGTGATCTGATGCCAGGCCAGGGAGCTGCTAGTCCATCAAGAAGCTTGCTTAGAGCAGCTTGGGTTTCAAGGGTCACATTGGCCCGGGCAGATGGTTCTGGTTACATGTTGGGATTTGGTACCACGTGGTACCTGGGACTAGTACCTGCTCAGTGCCTTAACACACTCTCCTTTCAGCATCTATGAGAAGTTGATCCAGTTCTGTGCGATTGACGAGCTTGGCACCAACTACCCAAAGGTGTGTCCTACACGAGAGGCTGGGGTGGGTCGTGCCCAGGGCCCCCCTCATCCTTCCAGCTTCAGCCTGGAGCTGCAGAAAGGTCCGTGCAGCACTGTGTGCTGAAGAGTGCAGGCCCCGTGTCTTACTTAAGTTCCTCTTGTTTTAGAACAGTCCACTGCTGAGATTTCAGCCACAGACCTGGTTCCTGGGCTCTGATTACTTAGGGTCTGAGTGTGGCCCAGGCCTGTGGAACAGCCTGAGGGGTTGGTGGACAAGCACACAATCACCACCATCGTGTTCCTAAAAGCTTCTGGCACTCCCTTGGCTAGAGGCTAGGGGTGACGTTTGAGAGGGGAAGGGACTCCAGGCTGGGTCTTGGGGGATGGGACTCAGGTCTCTGGTCATTGTCTGCTGAGGGTGCCTCCTGACCTGCTTTAACCCTTTCTTTGTCAGGATATGTTTGACCCCCACGGCTGGTCTGAGGATTCCTACTACGAGGCATTAGGTAGCCACCTTCTGTCATCTAGCACACGCTTGAGGGTCCCCTTTGTGTCACCACACCCAAGGGGCCTGGGCCTGCACGCTTGAATGAGACAGATCCCACCCCTGACTTCAGCAGAGAGGGTGGTGGTTGGACAGGTGGCCCCAGTGGTAACAAGCAGAAGGGGAGCCTCTGCCCGGGGTGAGAAGCCTTGTGCTTGAGTCCTGCTGGAGCTGGGCTTCGGAGCTGTGCAGGGGCCCACACGAGCTGGGGGAGAGGGAGCACACAGTGTTTTAGGGGCCCCTTTGGGAGGCCAGAGAGGAATTTCAAAGGGTCCGAGCCCCTCAACCACATGGTGCCCCTGGAGCAGATCTGGCCTCTGGCTGTGATGTGCTTGGCCCACACAAGTTTTATCTTGTTTAGATTTGAACCAGTTGCCAGCATTTTATGTAAGAACCCGTAATCCCATCTCTCGGTCAGTGGGAAGACCCGGCCGTGCTGGCCTGTGTTTCCTGTGACAGCACTCAGCTGGAGTCCAGGGCAGCTGGCTCTACCAGAAAGGGCTGCAGCCCCGGGCCTTTGGGTTTGAAGCCCCTGCTCTGCACTGGCCCAGAGCCGAACCCAAGACCTGGCTTTTGCAGGAGGACCCCATGCCCATGAGGCCTGGAGGCTGCTTTAGTCCACTGCACAGTAGTGGGTGGGGTGGGCACCTGGGCTCGGCTCTGGTGGCCTAGCCTGTCTCCTGACTCAGAAGCTGCTCTCACAATGACTTGTCCTTGTAGCCAAAGCCCAGAAGATTGAAATGGACAAATTGGAAAAGGCCAAGAAGGAGCGAACAAAAGTGAGTGGTGGGCAGATAGCTGGATGGACAGGGCAGGCGTCTGGAGTGCGTGGTTTCCCTGGCCAAGCCCAGAGGGTCCCAGACGGCCCTGAGCATGGCAGTTTGGTGACGCTCCAACAGCCGTGGAGAGGCTCCCAGACTCAGGCCCTACCGAGGCCGGCCTTCCACCTCAGCCGGAAGGTGCTCCCGGAGACTTCCGTTTGGTTTCTCAGTCTTTCGGTTTGATTCATTGCACCCTCCCTCACGTCCCTCCCCCCTTAGGACTGTCCCTTCTGGGTTGTTGGGACCCCCCTGGCCATTTCCTTCTAGTCGCTGGGCCCAGTCCGCTCTGGCCTATGTGTTCCTTGGCCCCCAGAGCTGACCCCAGCAGCTCCCCGCTGAGCTCATGTCTGAGGGTCAGGCAGCCCCTCACTGTAGGACCCTAAACACCACTTCTCCCCGAGCAGTGAGATCTGGGTCCCTCAGGGAACGTGAACTTGGCTGTGAGGCCAAGGGTCATTCTCTGAGCACTGTGACCGCCAGCGTCCCAGAGACAGTTCCTCCCTCTGGCTTGGCCTGACCCCTCATCTGGGGGCCCGAAGGCAGCTGCATCATCTCTGGGACGCTGCTCTCAGCCCCAGGTTGGAGGGCCTTCGTGACTTGGTGAGCTGATGGAGGGCTGATCTGGTCCCTCATACTTACCCCTTGACTGCATATCCCTTCTCTCTCTTCCCTCCCCCTTCCACACCCCAGGCTTACTGCAGGGACATGTCTGCAGCACGTGGGGACCGGAGCTGTCCTTCCCCTGTGCGGGCGGGCACCGCCTCCTCCTGGGTGTGAGAAGGAGGGGCCTGGCCTCCTGGCCTGGAGGTGGGCGGCGGGCAGAGCGGGGCGGATGCAGAATGCGGTGAGGCCGGGAGGGACCCATCTCTGTTTGGGAATCTCTTCCGAGGCCCTCTCCCTCCCGCAAACAGTCCCAGCCGAGTTGATTTCGGTGCCTCCTTTGTGCAGTGCCACTCCTGTCTCCAGGAGCAGGCCAATGGCAAAGGGTGTGCGAGGGTGTGGACCTGCAGCTTTCTTTGCGCAGGTCTCACTCTTGTCGCTCCTCTTCCAGATTGAGTTTGTGACGGGTACCAAGAAAGGCACCACGACCAACGCCACAGCCACCACCACCACCACCGCCAGCACTGCCGTCGCAGGTAGAGACGCTGTCCGGGCTCGGTGCTCCGCCACCTCCCGCCCGCACAGACAGAGGCCAGGCTCTTCCTGCCACTTGAGACACCGTGGGGGTCTGGGCCTAGGCTTCCAGGAGTTGGGGGGCTGGCCTTGGAGCCTGGGAGGCCTCTGGCTGCCGCCTGGCCCTGCGGGCTCTCTCTGGCCCCATCAGGGTCTCTTCCCTGAGCTTGGGCCAACGGCTGCAGGGAATGGCACGGGGCTGGCTGGTCGTCTTGGGCCTGACTACTCGCCTGCTGTTTCTCCAGATGCCCAGAAGAGGAAGAGCAAGTGGGACTCGGCCATCCCGGTGACGACGATCGCCCAGCCCACCATCCTCACCACCACTGCCACCCTGCCTGCCGTCGTCACGGTGACCACCAGCGCCAGCGGCTCCAAGACCACGGTGATCTCTGCCGTGGGCACCATCGTGAAGAAGGCCAAGCAGTGACCGGCAGGGCCACAGCAGGCAGAGCGGGCCTGCTCCCCGGAAGGGAAGGGCCGCTCCAGGACTCAGCAAGACTGCCTCGTAGCTGCTGCCCACCGTGGAGCACCACTCCGTGGTCAGAACTGGGGCCTGCTCCCGGCCCCCCCACCCCAGGAAGAGCCTGTGGTTGGCATTTGCAGCCAAAAGAAGGACGTTGCCACCAGGGAGTGGGGCCTGTGGACATGTACACGCCATTTGGGGTTCATACCCTATTAAACGTGCTGTCTTCTTAGCGCCTGGCGTCTCAGGTGCACTGGCCCCTGTGCTATTTCAGACAGATGGGAAAGCTCAGGTGCCCTTGCCATCTCGGCTGGGATTATTGCCTCGGGGTTGAAATGGGGTGACCAGCACCTGTGGCACTGCTGGTGGTCTGCAGAGTCACCCTGGTCATCCACTGACACGTGCCACCGCTTGGGGCAGGACAGGAGGGATCGCAGGGAGTGGGGAGAGAACCTGTGTTCCCACTATCTCCTGCCCCCATCCCAAGACCCAGCCTGTTGTCAGGCAGGAGCCTTGGCTTCTGCCCCCCGGAGGCAATGACGCACCCCCCAGACCACTTTTGGACACTCCTAGGTTTTTGAGGTCAAGCCAGGTACCAGAGTGATGGGGGGATGCTGACCTGTGTGGTGGGGAAGGGAGGCATTGGCGCCTGGGACAGGGTTGCCCAGCCCCTCGGTGCCCGGTGTGGCCAGCCGGCTGTGAGTCGTGGGGACGGTGAGTCACCTCCGCCCCGGCTGGGCTACAGCTCATTGTTTACATGAAAGCCCGCTCCTGGGAGATCCTGCACCCCACCCTTCCTCTGCCCGTTATCTCTGCCCCACAGCCGCCCTGGCAGCCCCCACCGCCATGCTCCTGGGCCAAAACCGGTTTCCCAGCCCTCACCAGCATGCCGCAGCCCAAGGGGCTGGTTTATCTCTCGTGTCCTTTGGCGGCTCTCCTTGCCATCAGCGGAAGGGCCAGTGTCAAGAGAAGGAAGCCAGGCTGTGAAGAGCTGTGTGATTTCCATGAGTGGGCGGGGCTGCGGGAAGGTGGGCCTGAGCTCAGGGCTGAGCAGCGATGCTGCTCCGGGGCCTGGGGAGTGTGGTAAACTCGGCCCTCGAGGCCCCAGAAACAAAAGTCAAGTCAGCTTGCCTCCCCTGTACACACCCATGCACACCCTCAACCTCAGAGGTCGGTTCTCACCCTCCCTCCATTGTCGGGACTTGGCAGCCAGTGGAGGTTCGCTCAGCCCCAGGAGAGTCTTGGGAAGGTTTCCTGCCCTTGGCCTCCAGTGGGGCCTTGCGTTAGCCAAGGGTCTTGTGGAGGTTTGTGGGAAATGGTGCGGGACAGGGAAGTGGCCTCCAGTTTGGAGTCAGAGCTTGGGTCTGGAGTTTAAAGCAAGGGGTGTGGGCTGGGCCTTTCACCTTGGAAGCCCGTGGTGTCCTCTCAGATCAGGGTAATACAGCTCCCTGAGGTGGTTGTGAGGGATCCATGAGCTGATTTGTACAAAAGCTTTATAAACTGTATCATCTGCTACAAGGGATTGTCACTGGCCAATCAATCAATCAATCTTTTATTTGTTTGCTTTCAGCCATGGAGGAGAAGCAAACTAGAGCTGGCGAAACTGCCAGGGTCATGAGGGAGTGAAGACCGGAGTCCTCCCAATCCTGGGCTCTTTTTTTTGGTGTGGGGGGGGCTTTGCTGGCTCCTAGGCACCTCCATGGAGCCTGCAGAGGAGCCACCAGGGCTGGGGCAGCCATGACAGGACCGAACAAGGCTTGTGAGTTGGCCACACCCAGCCTTGTGTCTGGTCAGGATCTCTAATTCCTCCGAAATTTACTTCCCCTAAAATGGGATTGAAGGTCGCTGAGCGGTGCAAGCAGTTCACAATCAGCTTTTAGCCTGAAGGCTGGTAGTCTCAGCCCACCCAGCAGCCCCACGGAAGAAGGGCCTGGCAATCCACTCCCATAGATTACAACCAGGAAAACCACGTGGGGCAGCTCCAACACGGGATCAACTGAATGGCCGCCGGTGTGGGCTTCTGAAAGTCTCACTGAAGGGCCTGTGGGTGTCACTGAGCCACTAACTGGAAGGCTGGCTGTTTGAATCCACACAGAGCCACCTCAGAAGAAGGGGCTGCTGGACTCCCGAAAGGTCACAGCCACCAAAGACCCGAGAGAAGTTCTGTCTGAAACACACGGAGTCACCGTGAGTCCAGATCAACAGCAGCAGTGAGTGAGTCTCACTGAGGACGGCACAGGCCCTTTCTGTGGGTTTCTGAAGTTTCTCTGGAGACTGGATGTCCCAGGCATTGAGGACACACGGTTATGCCTGGTTAGTCTCCATTCACGAGGAGAGCTCAAGTCTGTCCAAGGTGAACTTTAACCAGGCCCTCTAATTTCACACACACACCCTAAGCCTCATCGCGAGCCTGGGCCATGACGTCATGATCCACCAGGTTCCACAGCTACACCTGCGGGAAGCCTCTGCTCTAGAGTTCCTCCTCCCTCTCCAGCAGGACTCCCGCCCTAGGTCCGGCCCTGCCCCTCACACTGCCGGTGGTTCTGGCCTAACCCACAGGTCCCCAGCCAGCACAAATGGTTTGCTCTTGAGTACTGACCTCAAGGTTGGCAGTTACCCGTGGGGCCAGGGTAAAGCTCTCGTGAGCTGCTGTCAGGAAACCCTGTGGAGCCATTTAACAAGTGGGGGCACCATGAGTCAGAATCCCCAACCGGTTAACTAACCTGCAGCCTCGTTTCTCCCACTCCCATGCAGGCTCCAGTGTTGTCAGCAGAGTCCTTGAAAGCCCAGCTCTTGCTATGTCAGGTGGCCTCCCATTGTCTACTGAAGACCCTTTCCAACTTTTGCGCCTTTCTCAGCTTTCTCCTGCCTCTGTAACAGCACTTACCCCACAGCCTGGCATCCTCTGCAGGTGGGGGCACAGCCTCAGCCCACCCGTGTCTCATGGTTCTCCTTGTGAGCAGACAAACCTGCCGCAGACACCCTGTGGCCCTAGTTCCTGGCATGAGGTGAGTACCCAGTGAGTGGAGGAAAGGCAGGAGGAGGTCCCTGCCCCACAGACACTGAGCCGAAAGCTCCCATCCCATCAGGCCCCCTGCCCATGGCATCCCGCATGCGTGTCTGGCTAGATTCCAAAAAGGCCGTTCTAGGCTGGCTAGCGCCAGCTGAAGCTCCATGACAGCTCATAGTGTCTCTAAGTTTTGTGTCTGAAAACGTAATAATGTTTTAAGGGCTATCGAGCCACAGAAAAGACAAAGATCTCTGGGCGGATTTGGAGTGACCTCCAGGGGAGAGGAGGTGACAACAAAGTGTGAAACAGTTTACGGTGTGCGCTCCTGTTGTGTAAGAACTAGAGGAAACAAATGTGGAAGGCTGCATTTGCTTATTCCAAAACAACAGAGGAAAGATACAAGGGTAACAGAAGTTAAGAAGAATCCCAGTGTTAAATTTGATTTGAAAATACTCATATAAACTCAAGCTTAAAAAAAAAAAATCCTACTTCTGCCCATTGAAAGAACTTGGAACAATGACAGCGCAGTGCCGTGAGCGCATGTAGCGCCCACATCGCTAAGACCACTCCCCACTGATGGGACCAGGGCTTCCTGGAGAAATGGCCCATCCCAGGGCTAGGCAGTTCTAGAAAGTACAGAGACTACAGGAGTGTTTCGAGAGGAATCCCTTCTGGCCAGATTTGGTTTAATGTGAACATGAAGAATGTAATTCCAAGCTGGTGAACAAATAAAAATCTATTCATCCATAGTCATATCTGAAAAACAGGAAAAGGGATATATTTGCACCGTTGGTGCTGATATCCTATCAACTCCTTATGCCAAAAATGATAAATAAAGAACCCCTGCATTTTTGAAGGAACATGGTTCATCCCTGGTGATGAAGGGAAGCTTTTTTTTTTTTTTAAATCAGAACACCTGTTAAACGGACAATCACCAGCCATCAACTCCTAAAGGACACTTGATCCAGGCAAAAATCAACAGTGGACGCTAAATCCACCCAGCGAGAGGTGGTTGGGAAGCAGATATTTTCAGGGTAACAGTGTTGTGTCATCACCCTCCTCGAGACTATTTCTTTACATACATACATATATACGTAAAGTCACCCCAGTGACTGAGCTGAGGTCAGGGGCAGCACGTCGCGTCACCTACCCGGCCACATAACCCTGAGCACCCCCTTCCACCCCTTCACCAAAACGCTCCACCTGAACTAATTGGGCCTCGACCTAACTTCCGGTTTTAAAGCAAAAACCAAACCTACTGCCATGGAGTCGATTCCAACTCATGGCGACCCATGTGTCACCGAGTAGAACTGAGCCCATAGGGTTTTCTTGGCTGTCTTCTTTGAAAAACAGGGTCACCAGGCGTTTATTCCACAGAGCTGCTGGGTGCGTTCAAACCTCCAACCTTCAGATCAGTGCCACCCAAGAACCTTAACTTCCAGTTCAGAGGAAGATGAAGAATCAGTCCAGTTATACACAGAGGCAGCCAGACAAACCAGAAAATAGGGCATCCTGCAAGACAACTGGCCTGTATATGGGGGTAAAGAAGGAATGGGTGGCTACAGGGGAAAAGAGAAAACAATCACAATCAGATACCATGAGTGACATCGATTAGACTCAGGTTCCGAAGAGGGACAGTTTGGGGACGATGAACATTTGAATGTGCACTGAACCATAAATAATACTGTGGCTGTTAGATGTCTGAGTCGATTGCCAGTCATAGCGGCCCCAAGGGGCAGAGTAGGTGCCCGATGGCGTTCCTGGGCTATGATCTTTGCACGAGCTGGTCACCAGGCTTTTCGTCAGTGAAGCCACGGGGCGGGAGGTGGGGGGGCTCGGATTGCAACTGTTAGCAGCTGAGAGTTTAAACATCTGCACCTCTGGGGCTCCTTAGAGATGATATTAGTCATTGGCAGTTTTTTTAGTTGTGAAAATGAAATGATATCTGCAACTTAAATTCAAATTTAAAAAATACATAAATAAAGCAAATGCACTAAAATGTTAAGTGTCTCAAAAAGTCAGTTTCACTTGTTTCTAAAACCATGTACCAGTCCACCAGTAAATGGCGTATATGATGAAGCACGAGGTCAGGATGGCCGGGCACAGCCTTAAGAACACTCTTGGAGCCTCATGGTGTGAACTGCCCACAGCACGTCCACATCAGCCCCAGCTGCTCCCCCAGTGGCTGCGGGAGTCGGCAGGGCTTGAGTCTATTCCATGGATGAGAAAACTGAGGCTCGGGGAGGCTGGGTGACAATCCCATTGTTCAACCGCAGAGCAGCTGCTACGTGCCATGCACTGCCCTGGGTGCTGGGTGTAAGCAGATGGGCCAGAGAGGCTCTGGTCCTGTGAGGCAGAGAGACGCCCTAAACAGATTATCTCAAACCAACGTGTTAAGTGCTGTAAAAAAAGCCATGCCCTAGGGTTTATGGGGACAGGGGACAGCTATCCCAACCTAGGGTGCTGCGAGAGGTCAGAGAGGGCATTCTGGAATGTGGGACAGGCACGTAGCCTTCAACCATGAGATGGATGAACTAGGCTAAGGTGGGGGAAGGGTGCGGCAGGCAGAGAGGCCAGCCTGGAGCAGAAGCTGGAGGCAGCGTGGTCCAGGAAGGGGCTGAACGGCATTGGTGTGGCCTGGCATCACTAGAGAAATAGGGACAGGGACCTGGAGCTCCTGGTCCAGGTGCCCAGAGGACTGGAATGCCACCCCTGTCCCTCACAGCTGTCATCGGCCCTGAGAGATTGCAGTGGAAGCGGTGTATGGAGATCCACGGACCAGCTAGACAAGCGCCACCGAGTGCCCACTCCACACCAGCCCCCAGTGGCTCCAGCAGGGTGCCATTGTCCACATTGTAAGGAGGTTTGAGGAACCTGTCCAAAGACACCCAGAAGACCCAGCCCTTCTCAGCTCTCCCGGACACCATGTGGGCGGCGGGGAGCTGAGAGGACCCGGTACTGGCAGAACTGGGACCTGGGCGGAGGCCGCCCCACCCGGACTGAGACAATCCGTGGCTCCATCCCTCGCGGTGGCACGGGGCGGTGGGGGTGGCGCCCACAGCTGATGGCCGTCGGGGCAGCCGCAGCACGGCCTGGCAGTGGCCCAGGGTTGGAGGAGGAAGCCCCGCGTCTGCAGCCTGGAGGGGTGGGAGGGTGCGGGGTAGCTCCTCCCCGTGCAAAACAAGCCCTGCCTGCCCGCCGCCGGAGCTCTGGGCGCCGGGAGCGAGTGCAGCCTGTTCCGGGGGGCGGGCCCGGCGGCGGCCGCCAGGCTCCTGCCCTGACAGGTGCGCTCCGCGCAGGAATGCGGCCGGCCTGACTCACCAGCGCCTCCTGCCTACCTGGCCGCCCGCCCCATAAAGCGGCCCGCCCGCCGCCGCCGCCGCCGCCGCCGCCGCCGCCGCCGCCTTCGCGTCTTCTCCGGACGCTCCGCGCGCCCCTACCACCGGTAGCCACCGCTGCCGAGAGCTCAGCCAAGGTAGGTGCAGCCTGGCCCTGGGCTGGCACCAGGGACACCTGGCTCAGGGCAGGAGGGTGGCCAGGGGTCCCACAGCCCAGAGCTGGGCACCCCGTCCGGGACTCAGAATTAGGAAACATGAGTGCCCATCCGGCACCAGGCAGCCGGTCTCCAGAGCTGGTGAGGCAGGACCCGTGGCTTTTGTTTCCTCAGTTCTTCCCTTCCTGGAGGCTGGCGTGCCCTGCCCAAGGCAGGTAGTTGTCCAATGTGCCGGGGTGTGCCGGGGACAGCTGGGAGCTGGAGAAGGCTCTCGGCTGGCAGATCCTGGGGCTGGGACAACCAGAGAGGGGCAGCAGGAAGAGGCCGGCGTGTTGGGTGGGTGAGGGGTGAAGTGGGCAGAGGCCCAGCAGTTGGCAGGCACTCTGGGGTTTGCAAAGAAGAGGGGAGCAGTCACCCCCATTTGGCTGGGCAAGGGCTGCTGGGTCAGTGCCACAGCCCACTCAGGGCTGGGGAGTCCCTGGCTTTCCTCTTCTCTTGGCCAGCAGATACGTGCCAGCCCGCCTCCCAAAGGCAGTGGCAGACGCCCCTCCTGAAGCCCAGGAAGCTCCCTACTCCCCGCTGCCGTGCCCACCACTGTAACCTCCCTGCTGCCCCCTTCCTACCTATCGGCCACAGGGTGGGTTTGATGTGGGTGGTCGGACCCTAGATAGCTCCTGAGGGCAAGGCCGGACCTCCTCCACCGCTGGCCCTGCCACGCCCTGATTGCAGTGCCCAGACCAGTGGTCATCACTGCCCCCACAAAGTAGGACATGAAGGCTGGGGGTCTTCACCTGAGGGCTGAGGGGAGAGGTGCCAGGAAAGCAAGGAGGGGTATCTGCGTTCTTAGCCTTGGTTTCCCGTGGTGACAGCAGCCGAGGGGCCAGGGACCCCAAGGTTCTCACAGCAGCTGACCCTGAGGGTAAGCACTGGGCCCACTAGGGTGGGCACTTGGTGGGCAGGAAGGGAGAGCTGTGGCAGGGGTCTGCCGTGTTCCAAGCAGGGGTCCTGCGGGATTGGAAGGGAGGGTGTGTGTGGGCAGAGCCCAGCCTGTGTGAGCAAGTCACAGTGTGTGATCCTTGGTGGCCTGGGGGGCGCATGTCCTGCAGGCTCTGCTCAGCCCACCATGGCCACACCTGCCAATAAGCCCAACCCTTATTTTTATGTGAAAGCACACCATTTCTAACACTGGTGACTCCTTTTAAAACTTTTCAAACACAATATGAGTCCACCAAGACACTTCTGAATGCATTTTGCAGCCTCTGGGGCTGGCCCGGTGGGTAAATGGGGGTCCCACCGGGGCTCTCCCAGCTGGTTGTGGACAGGACAGAGAGCCCTGGGCTAGCTCCTTCCCTATCCGTGAAGTGGAGAGATGGCCAGTGCCTCTGCATGGGGTCATGTGCTGATTAAGTAGTTATGTATGTGGAGTGCGGGGCACACGCCACCTCTCAGCACTGAGTGGGGGTCCATGTTTATACTGTGTGCCCAGCCTGTGGGCATGGGGAGAGCGAACAAGAGCCGGGCTCTACCCCAGGCGTACCTGTGGCGTAATGGTGCCCCAGGGGCTGAGTCTGCATTGTGTAGCATTTGGGTGTGGTGCCCACACCCCATGGCTTCGGGAAAGTTATTTCCCACAACGTGCCCCGCCTTGGAGGTTCAGGGCACCATGCCCAGGGTCCTTGTTAGTTGCTGCCTCCGGAGGAACGCTGGTCCCCAGCTGGTCCTACCTGTGGATGTGTTGGTATTGCCAGTGACCTCCTCGGGGCCACATGCCTTTGCAGAGGGAGGCAGTGTCTCCCTCCACCTCCAGGCCCGATTGGGTCTCCACAGCTCTGTGGGACTTCTGCCCCCAGGCCTTGGGGCTGCCCCTGCCCCATAAGCCAGGGACTGAGAAGAGATACGATCTTGAGCCAACTGGGAGGGTTGTCCCTGGAGAGAGAGGCAAGGCCCTAACCTTTGCTCTCAGCTCAGCAGGCCTGGTGGCTCTGGCTAGTCCCTTCTCCATGGAGGCCTCAGGGATGCCTCTGCTGAGTTGAGATGGTTTGATAGTGAACCCAAGGCAGCTGAGGCTCCTGGGGCAGCTGACTCAGTGAGCGTAGGCAGGAAGGGGCTTGTCACCCAGCTTGGGGCTGACTCTTGAAAGGAGTGGCCTGCTGGGATAACTCAGGGCCCCCGGAAACTCCACTCTGGGGCGGCAGCAGTGGGGGCTAGGGCAAGGGATTCAGGCCCCACCCTGGACAGCCCGGCAGCTATTGCAGAAACTGACCCAGCGTGGGGAGTGGACTCCTCCCATCCCCAGTCCCCAGAGCTTGTCAGGGACCCTCTTCTGGACACACCACCCTCACCAAAAGACAAGTGAGCCAGGTCAGAGAGGGAGCAGGAAGGGAGGGCCAGGGTCTTCTCAGTCTGCTGGGGTCTGGAAGGCAAAAGCAGAGTAAGGCCTGGCCTGCCCTCAGGATACCAGTACCGAGAGCCTCGTCTTCTGGGACAAACTTACAGCCTGGAGCCCTCAAAGGCGCAGGGTGAGGCCTTCCTGGGCCGGTGCAGGCCTGTAGGGCATCTAGTCATTCCAGGGCCGCAGGTGAGGCACAGTGGGAAGGACAGCAGTTAGAGGCCCTATGCCTGCCCTCACTGGCCATGTGGCCTTGGTGACATTGCAGAAGTGCTCAGAGCCTGTTTCCCACTCACCCAATGGGAACGGCCCCACCTCTCCTGCGAGCTCTGGCGGCGCGGGCCAGGGCTGTAGTCATACGTGGACTATTCTGTTACAGGAGGAAGAAGATGGGAGGGCCGCGTCCCAACCCCTGGATCAGGCTGCTGCTGGTGTCCTTGCTGAGCGTCAGCTTCCCGGGGCACATGGGTGAGTGAGTCAGGAACCCACCTCTCAGGACGTGGCCCTCCCCTCACCCACTCACTCCACCATGCAGTAAGCCACCACTGCACTCAGGGGCTGGGGAGGCCTGGGCTGTGTGGCCTGGGAGATTCACTCAGAGAACTAACTCCTCATACGCTGAGCCCTGGAGAGTGTGGTGGAAACACTACAGGGATTCAAAGGACAGGGAGACATGTAGCTCCATGTCACCTGCTCTCCGAGTGTCTCCAGTCAGCTCCTTGGGCTAGCTCCTGCCCCTTGAATTTTGCCTATCAGTGGAGGTCATGTTGAGACCTCGAGCTAGACCTTGGTGGGAATATTTACACCATGGAAACTGGCAAACACTACCAATCAGGGCTCTCTGTCCTGTCTGCCCTACAACCTCCCCTTGCAGCCTTTTCTTTTTTTCCTCCCCACAGGGAAGGTTGTTATTTTATTTATTTACTTTTCCATTGCTTTATTTTTATTATTATTATTTGTAATTGTGCTTTGTGTGCAAATTTACAGTACAAAATTTGTTTTACGTTCAACAGTTTGTGTACATTTGATTTCACAGCCGATTACAATCCCTGACTATAACACACTCTCCTCCCCTCCCATCCCTGTGACCACCACCGCCCCCCACCCATGCCCTTCTTCAGTACGCACTCCTGTCTGAGTGAAGGTTGTTATTGTAACTTTACTCTTGCCGATTTGGTCCCCACTTGGTTATTTTTTCAATATAATTGATTTTACTTCTTACTGTTGTTGACAATATACACATAAGAACATATGCCAATTCAACAGTTTCACACATACAATTCAAGGACCTTGATTGCATTCTTCTAACATGCACCCTCTTTTCCTGTGTTGTTCTTGCACCCTCTTTTCCTGTGTTGTTCTTCCCGCACCAACATCGATTCACCACCCCCTAAGGTTCCTATCTAATCTTGTGAGTTGCTGTTGTCAATTTGATCCTGTATAGATGGTTCTTATGAGAGCAGAATCACTTCTAAACATTGACCAGCACGTCATTGCTTGGAGCCCAGGAGACCACTCGCTGTGTCCACTGGGTGCACACAGCAGGTCCTTTCTGTGTTTATAATGGAACACAGCCAAAGTGAATCCCAGTAACCTTTAAGGGATATGCTGGAGTGCCACCTCATTCATTTACTGAGGACCTACCGGGTGCCAGGCCTTGTGCTAGGCACCAGGAACCAGAAACCAGTAGCTATCAAAGTGATTCCAACTCATGGAGACCCCACGTGTGTCAGAGTGGAACTGTGCTCCAGGCATTTCCAATGATGGAACTTTTGGAAGTAAACCTCTAGGCCTTTCTTCCAAGGTACCTTTTGGGGTAGCAGCCAAGTGCATTAACCATTGCACCACCCAGGGACAGGCCCAGGGAACACAGAGATTAATAAGACAGATACGGTTCCCTGACTCTGGAGGAGGCTCGTGTGACAGACAAGTCACATGACAGTCATGCTGTGAGGCCAAGCTGTGACAGAGAAAGACCGACAAGGGCGGGGCATGGTGGGTGCTGCTCACCCCAGGCCTTGGCAGGGAAGGTGGTAGAAGTGTTGCAGGGACTGAGGTGAGGAGGTACAGGCCAGGAGACAGTCAGGGTTCCAGGTGGTGAGTGGGCCACAGCACTTCTGCACCAGCCCCCCAATTTCCCTCCAGATTTGAGCAGAAAGGCACAGGTTGAGACCTAGCTCTGCCAGTTCCTACCTGCACTACCTGAGGTAGATTGTGTCTGGCAGACCTTGGGCCCCTGTGTCTTCCTCTGGAAAATAGGGAGAGAATCCAGGCTCTCTGGAGTGTGGTGTGCGTGGGAAGGGCGTGGTCATTGCTGCAGTCCATCCCAACATGTCTGCCATTTCTGCCCCCAGCAAATCGCTGCAAGAAGGCTCAGGTGAAGAGCTGCACAGAGTGCATCCGGGTGGACAAAGACTGCGCCTACTGCACTGATGAGGTGAGGGGCCGCCTCCTCGAGCAAGGACCCAGCCCGGGCCACCTCCCCAGCCCAGATATCCCGCCCTGCCATACCCACCCCTGGCTCTGGCCAAGTCTGCACTTGCCACACCCTCAGCCCAGTCTCTGGCCAGGTGGGTGTGGGAGAACAGGCAAGGGTCCAGAACATTCCACTGGAAATAAAATCCAAGGGTTAGGACAGCCAGGGGATGAGCGCTGTCCCCGCTGACCTCATGTTCTTCTGGCCAGATGTTCAAGGAGAGACGCTGCAACACCCAGGTGGAGCTGCTGGCCGCGGGCTGCAGGCTGGAGAGTGTGGTGGTCATGGAGAGTAGCTTTGAGATCACAGAGGTGCGGCCCAGGGACCAAGGGAGGGGAGCTCTCCAAACCCAGGGCCTGCTGTGTCCCTCGGCTAGGCTGAGAGGCTCCACACCATGCCAGCGGTGTGCCCTTTCCCTGAACACAGGAGACCCACATCGACACGACCCTGCGGCGCAGCCAGGTGTCACCCCAAGGCCTGCGGGTCCGGCTGCGGCCGGGGGAGGAGCGGCACTTTGAGTTGGAGGTATTTGAGCCCCTGGAAAGCCCCGTGGACCTGTACATCCTCATGGACTTCTCCAACTCCATGTCTGACGATCTGGACAACCTCAAGCAGATGGGACAGGACCTGGGTACGCTGGGCCCGCGTGGAGGATGGGGGGTCGCAGGAGAGGTAGCCTCACCCCAGTGCTCAGGACAGCTGTACCTACCCCACACGGAGACACCTACACACACGCCAAGAACACTCTCCCCGATCTTCAAGGGAGGGTCCTGGCCAGACCTGCCTAACCACGGCGGACATCAGGAAGGGTCCAGGGAGGCCACCAGAGCCATCTGGTTCCAACATGGAGGGGTCCACTTCACAAGGCTGTGCCGAGGCCTCAGCTCATCAGACAGCTGGGTGTCGTCCCCAGACCTCTAGCTTGCCAGCTGCGTGGCTCTGGGTTCTCTGAGTGCCATTTCCCTCATCCGTGAACAGGGACAAGGACTCTTGTGATTATGTGCTGATGTCCAGCCTATAGAGTGTTGGCTGTAGGTGGTGTTCTCCCCTTCCTCCTTCCCCAGCCTGCTCTGGGGCCCTGGTGTTTATTTGGAGGGAGCTCAGCATCCCTGGGTGACACAAACAGTTAAGTGCTCAGCTGCTAAACACAAAGTTGGTGGTTCAAGCCCACCTAGACGTGTGCTGGAGGGAAGGCCTGGCAACCTAGTTCCAAAATCCCAGCCACTGAAAACCCGCTGGAGCACAATTCTGCTCTGATACACGTGAAGTCGCCAGGACTCAGCATCAACTCCATGGCAGTTGGGTGGTGGTGGTGGTGGTGGTGGTGGTGGTGGTGGTGGTGGTGGTGATGGTGGTGGTGATGGTGGTGATGTTGGGTCAGCTGCCCCCTTTTCCCTGTGGATGCCCAGCCCAGGTCCTGAGCCGGCTCACCAGCGACTACACTATAGGGTTTGGCAAGTTTGTGGACAAAGTCAGCGTCCCCCAGACGGACATGAGGCCTGAGAAGTGAGTGGCTCAGTGGGCCCCATGTGGGCAGGGGTCCTTGCTCACCCAGGGCCTTGAAATTTTCCTTCCAGTTTAAATGAGTGGAGCAGGCACTGGCCACAGAGGGAGGGCACAGCAGCAGGCATTGGGGTCCATAGGGTCTTCTGTCTTCTGACATGTTCTCTCTCCCTTCCCGTCTCTGCCAGGCTCAAGGAGCCCTGGCCCAACAGTGACCCCCCCTTCTCCTTCAAGAATGTCATCAGCCTAACGGAAGATGTGGATGAGTTCCGGAGTAAACTGCAGGGAGAGCGGATCTCGGGCAACCTGGATGCTCCAGAAGGGGGCTTTGATGCCATTCTGCAGACAGCTGTGTGCACGGTGAGCGTGGGGGCTTCTGCCAGCTGGACTGGGGCTGGCACCTTCTCTGCAAGGACCCAAGCTGCCAGTGGCCTGCCCTGGTGCCAGGCTCAGAGTATCCCAAACACCCAGGGGTTTGTAGCCCCCAGGCCCCAAGATAAGCTCAGACCCTCTGGGTGGCCCTGAATTAGAATCCTGTTGTATACGTGGTGGGAGCCAAGATCTGCAGTCAGAGCAGTGACATTAGCCAGTGAGGCAGACATGGGCCTTGGGGTTCCTGAATCTTCTGTGCCCTGAGACCAGCCCCCCAGCCAATCCCCCTGCTAACGCCAGTCTCCCAGGAACCGCAAGTAGCCCAGTCTGTCCTGGACCTCTGGAGAAAGCACTTCTTTTATATTTATATTATTTTTTTAAATTTTGAATATAATGCAGCCATATTGTAGACAACTTAGAAAACAAAGGACAGAAGTCGCCCATCATTTCCCCACCATCCAGCAGCCCTTGGTCACCTGGCAGCCTCTCTTGTACTCTGTTCCTCATGTCAATGTAGCTGGAGGCAGTGGCCAGGCAATTCTGAAACTTTTTTTTTTTTCCCATTGGACTCTGACTGCCATACGAGTTTGCTCTTGAAACCCACAGTTTTCAGAGTCACCACTTCTGTCTTTCTAACAAATCGCTGCACACCTGCTCCTCACTCACTGAGTATGTCATTATCTGACACCTTCGTAGTTACAACAATAATGAAAAATCTACCATCTCACTATTTTGTGTGCTAATGACATACATCTGGCAGTAATGAACACCAAGTGTGTAGCACTGCTGTGATGGTTACATGTCAATGTGGCTGGACCATGATTCTCAGTGGTTTGGTGGTTACGTAATGATGTAATTTGGCAGTGATGTAGTGATGTGGAGCCCTGGTGGTGCAGTGATTAAAGCATTTGGGTGCAAACCAAAAGATCAGCAGTTTGAACCCACTAACCACTCCAGGGGTGAAAGATGTGGCAGTCTGCTTCCCTAAAGATTTACATCCTTGGAAACCCTGTGGGGCTGTTCCTTTCTGTCCTGTAGTGTCATTATGAGTTGGAATTAACTCAGTGACAGTGGGTTTGGAGGTTTTTTTGGTAATGATGTGGTCATCCTTCCACATAATGCTTATTTTCACATGACACCCTGGTCTTTGGAACCTACCATGTTGGTAAGTGACTGGAGGGTATACATCTCCGTACCTAACTTCACCGGCCTTTTTTCATTTAATGTTGTGTCATGTACATTTTTCCTGTGCCGTGATAAGTAGAAGCTCTGGTAGCACAGTGCCTAAAGTATCTGACTGCTAACCAGAAGGTTGGTGGTTCAAACCCACCAGCCACTCTGTGGAAGCAAGACCAGGTAATCTACTTCCATAAAGATTTACTACCTCAGAAACCCAACTGGGGTCTCTATGAGATGGAATCTACTCAATGGCAGTGGATTTTGTGTGTGTGTGTGTGTGTGTGTGTGTGTGATAATAGTCCCACTGAGTGATTGAGAGCTTGAGTGGCTTGAGTGGACATCAGAAGAGCCTGGTTCAGATCTTCCATGGGGCCTTCTGTGCCCATAGACCTGGCGTTCATTTCCCATCCCCCTCATAGTTAGTCTGGTTTCTATCATCATCCTCACCTATGTCATCATTACAGTGACAACAGAGTTAACCTGTTGGCTTAACTGAGCCCCCGTTGGAGTCTACTTTCACTGCCATACGTGACACTATGACAAATGTCCTCAATATCCTCCTTGTCCTCCCAGAGGGACATTGGCTGGCGCCCAGATAGCACCCACCTGCTGGTGTTCTCCACTGAGTCGGCGTTCCACTATGAGGGTGACGGCGCCAACGTGCTGGCAGGCATCATGAGTCGCAATGACGAGGAGTGTCACCTGGATGCCTTGGGCACCTACACCCAGTATGGGAAGCAGGACTACCCATCGGTACCAACCCTGGTGCGCCTGCTTGCCAAGCACAACATCATCCCCATCTTCGCTGTCACCAACCACTCTTACAGCTACTACGAGGTATGAAGGCTGGGGCCACGGAGGGCAGGGGTCCAGGGGGCCGCTCGGATACCCCTTCCTGTCTTAACTCTCTGGTGCTGCTATGACAGAAATGCCACAGGTGGGTGGCTTTAACAAACAAATTTATTTTCTCACAGGTTAGGAGGCTAGGAGTCCGAATTCAGGGTGTCAGCTCCAGGGAAAAGCGACCTCTCTCTCTGTTGGCTCTGGTGGAAGGCCCTTGTCTCCTTTCAGCTTCCGTTCCTCAGCTCCTTGGCAATCTTCCTGTGACATGTATCTTTCTCTCTGTTTATGCTTCCTTCGCTGTGTTTTTAGCCAATCACTTCTAAGATATAAAAGGAACAGAAGTGATTGGCTGAAGACACACCTACACTGATTTGGCCTCATTAACATAAGAAAGAAAACTCTGTTCCCAGATGGGATTATATCCACACATATAACCACTGTCTTCAAGGTGACTTACAACATCCCTAGAGGACAGCATAGAACTGTCCCGCAGGGTTTCCAAGTCTGTAAATCATTATGGAAACAGACTGCCACATCTTTCTCCTGCAGAGTGGCTGGTGGGTTCAAACTGCCCATCTTTTGGTTAGCAACCAAGTGCTTTAACTATTGTGCCACCAAGGCTCCTCATCCACACGTATAGGAGTTAGGTTTTACAACATGTATTCTTGGGGGACAAAATTCAATCCTAACACTCCCTAAAGCTTTTGGGTCCCCCAGAAGTGGACCTTGGTGGGAAGGGGAGGTCCTGTGCCCATCCCCCAGCCTAACTCCCAAGCAAGTGGGGGCTCTGAAATCCCCCAGGCAGGTTCCAGTCCTTAGTTCTCCCCTCTGCAAAATGGGGACGAGCCTGGATAGCACAGGTGATCTCAGTGATGTGACACCTGTGGAGGGCTGAATCGGCCTGGCTTTGCTCTCTGCAGAAGCTGCACACCTACTTCCCCGTCTCCTCCCTGGGGGTGCTGCAGGAGGACTCATCCAACATCGTAGAGCTGCTGGAGGACGCCTTCAACGTGAGGGCTCATGGGGCTCCTGAGCTGGGCCCTTTGGGGGCAAGGCCAGAGGGGAGACAGAGTGGGTGCAGAGTGTTTCAGGGGCCAGTCATGGTTGAGAAAGCACTCCTGCATGAAGCCGGTAGGGAAGGCTCTCTGGTAGTTCCTGGGGGTGTTGAGGAGGCAAGCTGGGCCTGGCCCCAGACTCCTGTGGACTTCTACCACCACGCCTCCTGCCATATCACCCCAGTCTTGCATGCAGGTGGGAGTGAAGGGCAGCCAGGCCAGCGTAGGGAAGCCCACGCTCCCCGCCAAGACCACTGACTGTCTGCCCTCCTTCAGCGTATCCGCTCCAACCTGGACATTCGGGCACTGGACAGCCCCCGAGGGCTTCGGACAGAGATCAACTCTAAGATATTTCAGAAGACGAAGGCTGGGTCCTTCCACATACGACGTGGGGAAGTGGTATGCCTCGTGTGTGTGTGTGTGTGTGTGTGTGTTTGCTCACGCACACAGGCAGGGGGGCCACACTGCCCCCAGGAGGGGTGGAGCTTTCCCAAGCAGTGTCAAGAATATGGCCTCTGGAGTCAGACAGGTCTGGGTTCAAATCCTGTGGGGTCAGCGGCTTGAATGAGCTTGGCTGTTCCTCGGTTTATCTGTAGCCTCCTCCATACAGTGGGATTGTGAGAGCCCTGGCTGCTGAAATGTGTGAATAGGATAACGTAACAGAGCCACTAGAAACTCTACCATTGTCATTGTCATTGTCATTGTCACTGCTGTTGACATGATGACTGGTTTTCAGCCCAAAGAACGGCAGTCAGAGAGCTGGGTGTCAGGATTCTGACACACCCCCAAAGCTTGAGGGCTGGGCCTGCCCTAGCTTACAGCATATCCCTGCAGGGCACGTACAGCGTGCAGTTGCGGGCCATCGAGGAGGTGGACGGGACGCACGTGTGCCAGCTGCCAGCAGAGGACCAGAAGGGGAACATCCACCTGAAGCCTTCCTTCTCTGATGGCCTTAGGATGGATGTGGGAGTCATCTGTGACGTGTGCAACTGCGAGCTGGTATAGCGCCGCCGTGCTGGTGGGCGGGAGGGCCCGGGCCAACACTCTGAGCTATGAGCCATGATGCAGAGCCTCCTGCGGCTGCGTGGCCCCTGCACATTCCCCGAGGGGCGGAGGGCAGTAGAAGAGTCCCATGGTCCCCGCCCCCACCACACCACTCCCAACGGTTTCATTCCAGCAAAAAGAGGTGCGGTCGGCTCTCTGCAACTTCAATGGGGACTTCATGTGTGGACAATGTGTGTGCAGTGAGGGCTGGTGAGTAGGAGGGCTTGGGCTGACCCGAGAGGGGCTTAGAGTCCGACAAGACCTGATGCTGCCGGGCTGGGGGGGGCAGTGGGGGAAGGGGACACCCATTTGTCAGGGGCCCCCAGTGTAAAAAGCACATTGCAATACATAGATGTATAGAATGTCTCTGTAAAACACACAGGAGTCAGGAGTGGCTGCCACAGGGTGGAGACTGGGGCCGGAGCGGGAGGGAGACTTCTGCACTCCACCCTCTGATGTCTTTTGTCCTCTGAGGCTATATTACTTCATCAGAAACAGAGTCACATGAATGTAAGGGCTTTTAGGGAGCCCTGGTGGTGCAATGGTTAAGCACTTGGCTGCTGACGAAGGGTCAGTGGTTTGAACCCACCCAGCAGCTTTGCAGGAGAAAGACCTGCTACTTCCACAAAGATTACAACCTAGGAAGCCCTGCAGGGCAATTCTGCTCTGTCAAATAGGGTCGCTATAGTCAGAATCTACTCAGCGGTCCTCAAAGCAACAACAAAGGCTCTTTAGGCCTCCGGACAGTGGATAAGTCCATTATGACTCAAGGGAGAGGAACAGCAAGGAAGGGACGGGTATATCAGGGGGCTGAGGTTTGAGTCTCAGGTCGGCCCCTGCTGCCTGTGTGGCCTGGGCCTGCTGCTGCCCTCTCAGAGCCTCTGTTTCCCCATCTGTGAAATGGGCCCAGCCTTTCTCCTGGGCTCTGGGAAGTGACTGGTTCCTCCCCCAGGAGCGGCAAGACCTGCAACTGCTCCACGGGCACCCTGAGCGACACACAGCCCTGCCTGCGAGAGGGCGAGGACAAGCCATGCTCAGGCCGTGGCGAGTGCCAGTGCGGACGCTGCGTGTGCTACGGCGAGGGCCGCTACGTGGGGCAGTTCTGCGAGTATGACAACTTCCAGTGTCCCCGGGCCTCCGGCTTCCTCTGTAATGGTGAGCTGGGCAGGGCAGGCCAGCCTGGGTGCCCACCCTCCCCTGCCCCATTGGGTTCTCCCTTTAACACCCAGGATGGGTGATCTAAGCCCTGCTCCATACACCCGAGTCTCCCGCAAGTCCTGCCTAACCCTGACCTCGCTTTTCTCATCTACAAAGTTCATGGCCCAGCCTCTGTTGGCTCAGCATTCCATTTTAAGACAACTCTGGTCCTTCCCACCCCACACCCTCATTAGGGTCAGCCCACTCAGCTCAGGATTCAGGGGTTGGCAGGTGAAGTGCATGATGGTCTTTTCTCTGGAAGATGCTGCACTTCTAGTATCAGGACTGGAGTTACGCTTCTGTATCCCCACAGGGCCTGAGACAGGGTTAGGCCCAGGCAGTGTGCATATAGTCTGGCCAGGGGCTCCGGAGCTGGGCAGTGGACATGGAACTCTTGTCCATTGGCACGTGGATGGATTGGGTGGTTGAATGGAGGAGGAGGAATGAAAATCAATTCATCAAATACTTCAGTGGCCATTGACTCATCGAATGCTTATGAAGCTCCCACTTTATGCTCGGCACTGGGTGTCACACCCTTCATTTTCTACCCTTTCTTCCATTCCTGCTTTCTTCTGCCATTTCTTCATCCCAACTGCCCATCCTAGAGACGCTCAGAGAGATGGAAGGCAGAATCCGGCACACGTGGGGAAAGGCGGACAGTTGGTACAGGGGGAGGGGCAGGGGAGGAGACAGGGCCAGAGTGGGAGGACCTGGTTCTAGTTCAGGGCTGGCTCAGGCCTAGCCTAGTCCAAACATTTCTCAAGGGGCCAGAGAGTGAGTATCTGTAGCTTTGTAAGCCGTACAGCCTCTGTCACAATTACTCAACTCTGCAGCCACAAACAATACGTAAACAGGTGAACTGTGTTCCCATAAAATTTTATTTATAAAAACAGGTGATAAACTGGATTTGACCCACAGGCTATAGTTAGTTAGTATTCTAGTTCAAAGATTGTTGTTGTTAGGTACCAGCAAGTCAGTTTTGACTATAACGACCCGATGTGACAGAGTAGGACCATGGGTTTTCTAGGCTGTAATCTTTATGGGAGCAGATCACCAGTCTTTCTCCCACAGAGCTGCTGGGCAGGTTTGAACTGCGAGTGTTTTGGCAAGCAACAAGGCAATTAACTGTTGCATCACCAGGGCTCTGTTGGACTTTATCCTTTGGGCAAAAGGGAGTCATTGGGAGTTTTAAGTTCCTTTTCTATTAGTATATTAACCTTGTATCCAACCACCTTGCTAAACTCACTTATGGAATCTAATGATTTATCTGTAGACTCTTCTGTGCTATTGAGAGGACCTGATACTGGCAAATGACAGTTTTCTTTCCTACTGTCCAATACTTACATCTTTTGTTTCTTTTTATTACCTTATTGCACTGGCCAGGAGCCATTAGAGGATTTTAAACAGGAGAGGAGTACATGATTGGATTTCTGTTTTGGGACAATTACCCTGGCTGCAGAGTGGAGGTAGAAGGTGGGATGGAAGGAGAGATGGAGGGAAGATTCCAGAAGAATGAGGAAGAGATGATTTCTGCCCCTAGCTGGGCCATCCTAGTTCCAAGGCATAGCTCTCACAGTCCCTCCTTGGCAAGTAGGCAGCCTGGTGCTACAGGTGTGAATGTGGTTCTCCTCTCCCTTCCCTTTCTCTGTAGACCGGGGACATTGTACCATGGGCCAGTGTGTGTGTGAGCCTGGCTGGACAGGCCCGAGCTGTGACTGTCCCCTCAGCAATGCCACCTGCACTGACAGCAATGGGGTAGGCCTGGGCGTGGGGCAGGCATGTTGGGGTGGCTGGGCTGGGGTGCCCAGTCAGGGGCATCCTCTCAGAAGGGTGCCTGGGGGAGAGAGGGGAGGGGAACAGTCAGGGATGGAGTTACAGCTGGCTCACTGGTGCCTCCCCCTGCCCCAGGGCGTCTGTAATGGGCGTGGCTACTGCGAGTGTGGACGCTGCCATTGCAACCAGCAGTCGCTCTACACGGATACCACCTGTGAGATCAACTACTCAGCAGTGAGTCTGGGATTGCGTGGGGTGTGGGCGTGGCAACCTGGGCCCACAGGGCAGGACGAGAGGCTGAGCTTGGTGCTGTAAGAGCTGGCCAAGAGCAGGAGGCTGGAGGCAGCTGCCTAGTACCCCCAGCACAACGCCCATCTGCCCCTGCCCCTCCCGCCTAGATCCGTCTGGGCCTCTGTGAGGACCTGCGTTCCTGCGTGCAGTGCCAGGCCTGGGGCACCGGGGAGAAGAAGGGACACACATGTGAGGAGTGCAGCTTCAAGGTCAAGATGGTGGATGAGCTGAAGAAAGGTGCGGGGCAGGGCTGGGGACCAGGAATGCAGAGAGCCCCGCGAGGGCAGGGGGGCACACAGTGATCCGGGGTGCCACTCATTTGGACAAGGGGCTTGCTATTTAAATCGAGGTCCCACAGTCTGGCCAGAGGATGCAGAACCTGGAGCGGGGGCACACAGTCTGGCCAGAGGGCACACAGGGCAGCTGAGACCATTTGGGCAGGAGGCAATAGCCAGGCAGAGGCACATGGGCCAAGCAGGCCTGGTCCACAGCCTCCTCTCCCCTAGCTTAGAATTGACTTGCTAGATGCCAAGCCCTGGGGGGGTGTCCCAGGCGGGGAAGGAGGGGACAGATGTGCAGCCTTGGATGTTCCTGAGTTCAAATCCTGAGCCCCAGCCCCAGGGCAGCCTCCCTTTGCCCCAGTCCCTGGGTCAGGAGCAGGGGCACAGTTTGCCAGGTACTCTCACTGTTTCTCAGGAAGGTTCCTCAGGCCCTGCGGGTGCTTGGGGAGCCCAGGGGTGCCCCAGTGCAGGGGACACCTCGGCAGGCCTGGGGTGCTCTGGGTGGAGGGTGAGTTGGGTGCCGTCTGACTGTGTGGGGGTACAGCGGAGGAGGTAATGGAGCACTGCTCCTTCCGGGACGAGGATGATGACTGCACCTACAGCTACACAGTGGAGGGTGATGGCATGCCCGGGCCCAACAGCACCGTCCTGGTGCACAGGAAGAAGGGTGAGCCGGCGGGCTGTGTGGGCCGGGGGCGGCCCCTCAGATCCAGAGGGTGGGCCTCGATCCTCGTCTCCTCCGTCCTCCCCAGACTGTCCTCCCGGCTCCTTCTGGTGGCTCATCCCCCTCCTCATCTTCCTCCTGCTGCTCCTGGCGTTGTTGCTGCTGCTCTGCTGGAAGTATTGCGCCTGCTGCAAGGTGACAGCCCCGTCCCCAGCCCCAGGGTCCCCACTCCTGGGATGCCCACCCTCTCGGGGTCCTCTCCCACCACAAGATCCCCACCCCACACCAGGGTCCCCAACCTCTGCAGGGTCTCCTCCCACCACAGAGTCCCCACACCCCTCCAGAGTCCCCATCTCCTACTGGGTCTCCACCTCCAACCAAGTCCTTACCCCCGACCAGGTCCCCATCCCCCTTCAAGGGACCCTACTGCCTCCAGGGCCCCCACCTCCTTCCAGGGTCCCCTCCCACCATAGGCACCCTACCCCTACCACCCCACCAAGTCCTCACCCCTTCCCAGGTCCCCACCTCCCACCAGGATCCCTACCCCCTCCAGGGTCCCCTCCCACTACAGGGTTTCCACCCCCCTCCAGGGCCCCCACTCCCCACCAGGGGTCTGGGAAGGCACCTTCTGGACCACTGGCCTGGGAGCGGGCTGGAGGGGCTTTCTTGCACTGAGGCAGCTGAACATCACAGCCTATCTCACCCCGCCCCATCTCCTAGGCCTGCCTGGCTCTTCTCCCTTGCTGCAAGCGAGGTACGGGCTGGGCGTCGGATGGGGAGGGGGCTGTGACTGCTCTGTGTCCTCCAGCTGGGGTGGAGGGTAGTGGAGATTAAGTCTGGAACGGTGTCCACCTGGTGGGGTGTGGCAGGTGGGCCTAGGGCCCCGGCTGAGCACCCTGTCCCACAGGCCACATGGTGGGCTTCAAAGAAGACCACTACATGCTGCGGGAGAACCTGATGGCCTCCGATCACCTGGATACGCCCCTGCTGCGCAGCGGCAACCTCAAGGGGCGGGACACCGTCCGCTGGAAGATCACCAACAACGTACAGCGGCCTGGCTTCGCCACCCGCGTAGCCAGCACCAACCCCTCAGAGCTGGGTGAGAGTGGGCTGGCCACTGCAGCCCTTGGCAGTCAGGGCACGTTCACTGCTGGGCCTGCGCCTGGGGTCCTGCTGTTCCTGCTTGCTCCGGGTGTTAGGGGCACCTAACTGCCACCTGCTGCCCCTTCCCGATAGCTCTACAAGCCTGGCCTCACTGTGCCAAGGCAGCTGCCCCTCACTGGCAGTTATCCTCCAGTCCTAGCGTGGTTCCTGCAGGGGCTCTGGGGTGCCCCCTGTGCAGGGTGCTGATGACACCCTTTCCTGCCTTCGCCCAGTGCCCTACGGGCTGTCCCTGCGCCTTGCCCGCCTCTGCACTGAGAACCTGCTGAAGCCTGACACCCGTGAGTGTGGCCAGCTGCGCCAGGAGGTGGAGGAGAATGTAAGGACCCCGGAGCTGGGCCTGAGGGGGGCCGTGTGTGTCGTGTGGCCAGGGAAGCAGCGGCGGGGCAGCCTCAACATTTTCAGTTGGGAAGCCGGGCCCTCCTTGGTCAGGGGTCCGTAGGGGAGGTGCCCTGTGAATGTTTCTGGTGGGGGCATAGGCAGCAGAGCCTGCTGACAGGACATGCCCCTGGGAGGTCTGCCCGGCCTGAGTGGTTCTGGGCAGGAAGCCCCTGGTTCATGAAGGCCCCGGGTGGAGGGATGTCTGTGGCAGCCTGGCCTGTGGCCCCAGCCTCATGGCACCCCTGCCTTGCAGCTCAATGAGGTTTACAGACAGGTCACGGGCGCCCACAAGCTCCAGCAAACGACTTTCCGGTGAGTCCAGGGTGTGAGGGCAGCCTGGTGCCCAGGGCCGGGTGGGGGGCTGCCCATACAGCCGCCTCCAGGATTTTAACCCCCAGGAAACATTGCCTCCCCGCAGCTCTCGCCCATGCCTAGGCACCATGTGATTCACTGTCCCCTCTTTGTCCTCCACAGGCAGCAGCCCAACGCTGGGAAAAAGTGAGTGGAAATCGAGTCAGGCAGCGCCCAGCCCCTGCTCCCTGCCCAGAACCAGCCACATCTGCCTCCTGCCCCATCCCCCTGCCCCATCTGCTCTCTGCCAGTCTTCTGCCTGTCTGCCCCAGCCCCTGTTCCCTGCCCCATCTCCATGCCACAGGAAGGGGGCACTGGATGTGCCTGTCGTGGGTTGGATCTTCATTCATTCCTTTAGTTGACCATTCATACCACAAACACTCGTGTGCAGCCCCAACTATGAACCCTTGTCCTAGAAAAGACCAAACCCCCGGGGACCAGACAGACACGTCCCTGCCCACCACCAACACCAGGGATAGCCAAGGGCCTAACTCCCGCCTTCCTCCTGACCCTGAGAGCCTGATTCTGGAGGCACCACTGGGTACCACACAGGCTACCAAGATGGAGCCAGTTAACACCTCTTTGCCCAGTTCCTACCCCAGTCCTGGCCCTTTAGGGGGAAAGAGGGGAGGGGGCCTCAGTGCAGAGAGGACTGGATAGTGGACTCAGAACACAGCTCATTTTTGCTGAGTACATCGCCACCAGTGATAACCAGGTGGACCAGCATACTTATGATGGGCCAGGCATTGTTCCAGGGCTCTTATGTGTGTCATCTTATCCAACCCTTTCATCAGCCTTGTTAGGTACCATTGCGATCCCCATTTTACAGATGAGGAAACTGAGGCCCAGAGAGGTTCAGAAACTTGACCTCGGTTATCTAGCTCACAGGAAGTGAGGCAGGATTTGAACCCGGGCAGTCTGCCTGCAGCCCTCCTGCCCTGAGCATCTTTGCTGGCCTGACCCCTCTTAGCTCCCCTACTCCTCGCATCACCAGTCCTTGTCAGTGAGGGGGCAGGGCAGACCATTTCATCAAGGAGCACCCTGAGGCTCACAGAGGCGCGTGCCTCAGCTGAGGCTGCAGGTCCCGGGTGAGGAGCCGTGCAGGCCTCCACGTGGGCCTGGCCTGATGCCCCTGCTTCAGCTGCCCTGCCTCTCGTCCCTGTGATGGAGGGGTCAGGCAGGAGGAGAGGCCAGCTGAACACCTCCCCCTGCCCAACTCCCCACCCCAGGCAGGACCACACAATCGTGGACACGGTGCTGATGGCGCCCCGCTCAGCCAAGCAGGCCCTGCTGAGCCTGACGGAGAAGCATGTGGGGCAGGGGTCCTTCCATGAGCTCAAGGTGGCCCCTGGCTACTACACCCTCACTGCGGACCAGGGTAGGTGGCAGGCTCCTGTACCACATGCTCGCAGCCCAGCCCGCGTGGGCCCCTGGCCCACGGCCGACTGCCCCTGATCCCCACGCAGATGCCCGAGGCATGGTGGAGTTCCAAGAGGGTGTGGAGCTGGTGGATGTGCGCGTGCCCCTGTTCATCCGGCCTGAGGACGACGACGAGAAGCAGCTGCTGGTGGAGGCCATCGATGTCCCCTCAGGCACTGCCACCCTCGGCCGCCGCCTGGTCAACATCACTGTTATCAAGGAGCAAGGTCAGGGAGGAGGAGCGGGGGTGCAGAGAGGTGTCTGCGGGCACCGTAACCAGTACCAGGGGCTGTCAGGTGGACTGTGTGCATCGTAACCAGTACCAGGGCTGTCAGGTGGACTGTGTGCATCGTAACCAGTACCAGGGCTGTCAGGTTGACTCTGAATCACTGTGACCCCACGTGTGTCACAGCACTGTGTCCCATTGAGTCAATGGCTGATTTTTCAGATGTGAATTGTCAGACCTCTGTTTCCAGGCACCCCTGGGTGACCTGGACCCTCCAGCCTTCTGATTAGCAGTCAAACACGTTAACCATTTGCACACCCCATGGACTGCTGATATCCTAATGGAAGTGAGACCTGGCTGGATGGCCTGGGGCTAGTCCTCTAACCCTGTGAGCCTTGGTTTCCTCATTTGTCAAATGGGTATAAACTGGTGAGGAGTCGGTGACTGTATGTATCTGCACGTTGCCTGGTGTGTGATAAACACTCGAGAAGCCAGAGCTCTTATTATAGTCATCTTCCTCCCCTTGTTCCTTTCTCCCTGGCCTTTCTGAACTTAGGGGGTCAGATTGGCTCCCCAGGATGCCAGACTGTTGGAGCAGGAAGAGGACTGGGGCTTCATTTTGTCCAAGCCCCCCTTGGGGAAATGAAGATTTAGAGGCGGAGATTGGGGAGGGGTTGGGCCAGGCATGGCACCATTGGCCTGGACTCACCTTCTGCATATTGGGGGTCTGTGCCATATGCCCCCCCAGGACCCATGGGCCTTGTACTACTCAGCCTCCTTTCTCTGCCCTGACCCTTCAGGGTGGCTGTTGGACCCTGTGTCCCAGGCCCCCTCAACTTTTTCCAGAAGATCTCTCCACCCCCTTCCTTCACCCTCCCCAGAGGGATGTGCAGGTGAGGAGGCGCGTAGGCTCCAGACGCTAGGCTAGGCTGGGCCAGAGGAAGGGGCTGGGGAAAAGGGCTAAAGCCAGGACCCCCTGACCGGCATGGACTCCTTGCAGCCAGCGGGGTGGTGTCCTTTGAGAAACCTGAGTACATCGTCAGCCGCAGGGAGCAGGTGGCCCGTATCCCCATCATCCGTCGCATCATTGACAGCGGCAAGTCCCAGGTCTCCTACCGCACACAGGACAACACAGCGCAGGGCAACCGGGTAAGTCCCCTGCAGGGTTGTGGGCATGTCCCAGGGTCCAGAGGTGCCCTGCTTATTCCTAGGAGGGAGCAGGACGTGGCAGTTACTGGAGTCCCTGGGCTGGCCCCTCAGACATATCCATCCACTCCTGCCTCCCCGAGTGAGGCCAGGGCCAGTGCCCATCACTGTCAGGGACTCAGGCCAGAATGTCCCTGCATACCCTTCCACAACCAGGAACACCAGGCAGCCAGACTCTTCCGAGACAGATGGACTCAGGCTGGCCCAGGCCTGGAGGCTTCAAGCCGCCCTCTGTCCCTGCGTCCGACACCCCAAGGGACTTCACTCTCTGCCCAGCTCAGCTGGAGCACCCCTCAAGGCAGGGAGTGGCATGTATGTCCACGTCCCCTTCCTCACTGGCCCCCAGCAGCAGGGACCAGCCAACTCCAGCTGCCAGATGGGTTTGGTCTGGCTTACATGGATTTGGTTGTTTTGTGGTGGTGGTTGCTTTTAATTATGGATTTGTTGGCTCCGACTGCTGATGACCCTGTTTGTCACAGTAGCGCTGTGCTTCATAGGAGTCTCAAGGCTGTGAGGTCTCGGAAGCAAATGGCCAGGCCTCTGGACAGGCTCAAACTTTGACTGTTTGTACCACCCAGGGACCCCTTGAATTTATTACCAACATCTAAAAATTTTTAAAACTTGTGTCAAAAATTATTGCAAAAAGTGAGAAATGCTAGCCTTGTTGAGTGGGCAGACCCACTCGGCAAACCTCACAGCCGAGGGAGCTGAGCTGGCAGGCCCTTGGGGCGGCTGTCTCCTGGCCACGCAGCCCGGGCATGCCTACTATTCTCCACATTTTATTGGTAGGAACGTTTCTCCTTACTACTCTGATGCTTCCAATAAAATTCCACGCATGTGTCTGTGTACTCATAAATTTCACTCAATGTGTCACATTATACAAGGGACACTGGCTATCGTGTTAGGCTTTTTATAAAGATGCCTTGGTATTTAAAGATTTTTACTATGTCCCAATTTTTTTTTTTTAATTTGAGTGATTTGGGTTAAAGTTTACAGAGCAAATTCTTTTTCTATATAGCAGTTCATACACATTTTGTCTCATGATATTGATTGCAATTCCCTACAATGTAACAGCTCTCTTCCGACTTCCTTCCCACATTCCTTCCTGTATCCTCCCCTCCCATGCACTCCTGCCCCCCCCAGCTGTCTCCCTGTGTAAACACTGCTCTTCTGTTCTCCTGTGACTGATCTCTCCAATGAGTATACCTACCTGATATAAATGTTCACCCCATATGCCTATTATTTGGGTGGAAACCACAGGAGTGAGTTCAGTTCCAGACCTGAAGGGTAACTAGGGGCCATAGTCCTGAGGGTCTCAGCAGGTTCTAACAGACCAGCAAACTTGTTTTTTTTTTTTTTTTTTTAATGATTTTGGGTTTTATTCCACATTGTCTCCCACTCTACTCAGGATCTCCTGCACCAATCCCCCTCCGAGTGGTTGACAGTGGTAGCTGGGCACCATCTAGTTCTTCTGGTCTCATGGTCATAAAGGATGAGGATGACATGGCCTACCAGTCCCTTGGACTAATTGTTTCTATGGCATTACATTCATTTCGTTGTCATGTGTCTTTTGTCTCCTTTTATCGAAAACAGTTCCCTGGCTTTTGTTTTTCATCCAGGCCAGTTGTCTTGCAAACCAAAAAACCAAACTCACTGCCACTGTCTTGCAGTATATGAGGGGAAAAAAAAAAAAAAAAACTGCTCCAGTCGGATCTAAGTCATAGCGAGCCCTCCTTGGGTTTCCAAGGCAGTATCACTAAAGTAGATTGCCCAATTTTCTTCCTTCCAAGGAGCAGCTGGTGGGTTTGAACCGCCAGCCTTCTGGTTAGCAGTCACATGCCTTAGGCACTATGCCACCAGAGCTCCCTCTTGCAGTATAAAATCCCTGTTCTTCTTGTGCCAGCAGCTGAACTTTATTGAGTTGGTAACTTTTGAGTTTACCTCCCATGCTTTTGCCATAAAATTGAAATTTGTTAGTTTGAAGCGCCACCTAGTGGTTCCACATGAAAGGACCTTTTTTCTTGCTCCTGAAAGTTGACACATATTACACACACACACACACACAAAAAAAAAAAACACCCATGTACACATTCATCCTGGGAAACTCAGGAAAGGGTTGGAAAAATAAAGCTGGAGCCTATGGAAACACCCACGCAGCAGCCAGGGCCTGGGGCCAAGCACGATCTCAGACTTCAGACCCACAACGTGGAGACAGTTCTTCCCTTCCTGGGTGGGGACTGCTAATCTCAGCTCCCAGGGACTTCACAAAGGCCTGAGTGCCTGCCTGTATGGGGGACGCTGTGTCTGCCAGCTCACTCCTGTGTCTCTAGGCCTTGGTTCAAATCCTGGCTGGCTCCACCACAGCTATGTGTGTAAACTTGGGCAAGCATCTTCACCTCTCCACACCTGTTTCCTCATCTATAAAATGGGGATGATAATATCATCAGCCCCACACTGTTGTGAGGATCTAACAGGCTAATATTTGTAAAGTGCTTGACGCACCTGTAACCTATTGCTATCAACTCGATGCCACATGATGACGACATCATGTTATGGAGCAGAACTGAGCACCCTGGGATTTCTGTGACTGTCATCTTTACAGAAGAGATCACCAGGCCTGTCTTCCATGGTACACTGGAGAGGTTTGAACCACCAACCTTTAGGTTGGTAGCTGAATGCAGGCCGTTTGCACCACTGACCTGCTTGATGACAGTCTGTGTGTGACACGCTTTGCAGTGTCGTGTGCGTGTGGTGGACCATGTCCCTTGGAGGACTCCGATTTCTGAGTCAGGCCATCTCCCGACCCTTCCCACTCCAGGACTACGTCCCCGTGGAGGGTGAGCTGCTGTTCCATGCGGGAGAGACCTGGAAGGAGCTGCAGGTGAAGCTCCTGGAGCTGCAGGAGGTAGACTCCCTCCTGTGGGGCCGCCAGACGCGCCGCTTCCTCATCCACCTCGGCAGCCCCAAGTTCGGGGCCCGTCTGGGCCAGCCCCACACAGCCACCATCATCATCGGGGACCAAGGTGGGCAGAGCCGGGCGTCAGCCGAAACAGTGAGGAGGGAGGCCTGGGAGCCTCACCTGGGGCTGCTAGACTTAGCAAATAAAAACAGAGGGCATTCCATGGCCATGTGAATTTCAGATCAACAGTGGATCCTTTTTCAATGTAAGTAAAGCCTGTGCAACGTCTGGGACATTCTTAGTCTAAAAAAGTGTACGTTGTTGATTTGAAGTTCACATGTCACTGGAGTCCAGGATTTTATCTGTAACCAAAGGCTGAGGTCATGCTGTGGCCACATGGCCGGCTGCTGGGGCCTTGAATTCCACCATGAGGTCTCATCCCTCTGACGTTAGCCTCCTTGTTGTTAATTACTATTGAGCCAATTTCTACTCATGGTGGCCCAATGTGTGCAGAGCAGAACCGCTCTGTACGGTTTCCAAGGCTGGGCATCTCAGAAGATCATCAGTCATGTCTTTCAAGGCACCACCAACTCTTCAGCTAGCAATCAGCACTTAACCACCGTGCCACCCAGGGACTCCTGACTTCAGCCTCAGTTCCACCTAAAATGTGGGGGCTTCCGGTTGGGGTGCTACAGTTAGTCCATGTCAGTCCCAGCCTCCAGTGTGGTGGTGTCTGGGACCCCCTCCTTGGGAGGAGGCCTTGCTGGGAAGATGTGAGGAGGAAGAGGATACTGAGGCTATTGGGGAAAAGGGGCCAGTACTCTCCTGTGAATTCTTCTTCCTTTGCCAAGGGAGAGAGAAGAGCAGATGAATTCCCCCCTCTTCTGTTTGCCAGAGACCCTCCTGGGCCCTCCACCAAGCTTCGTGTGATACCCTCTGGGGCATTGGCCCCAACCACCCCAGGGGCAGGCCTCAGTTGATTGGCTTTGAAAACCCCCACTTCCATGTTTAACAGAGTTTCTGGCGCCTCCTGGTGGTGTGGAGGACAGGCTCCTGTCCTCCCTTCCAGAGGGTCTGAGTTGGCTGGTCTCCCCGGACTTGATCCATTACAGACGAACTGGACCAGAACTTCACTCACCAGACCCTGTCATCACCTCCACTCCCCCGTGGTGACCCAGCCGCCCCACAGAACCCCAATGCCAAGGCTGCCGGGTCCCGGAAGATCCACTTCAACTGGCTGCCCCCTCCTGGTAAACCATCAGGGTACAAGGTGAGGTGAGGGTGATGAGGGGTGGAGGGGGAGGTCTGGACCAGGGAGATGGGCAGCCTGAGGTCCCCAGTGTGCAGAGAGGGACCGAGGGAGCCCCCATCTGAGCCCAGGGAAGAGGGGAGATCCGCTCCTGAGCTTTCCAGACCTTTGCTCCCCTCCTCCCCCCAGGGGACCACCACCCCGAGCCCTGCCGTATGAAGGAGGCAGGTCACTCAACCTCCAGAAACTCACCTGTGCCATAGGACCATAGGGCAGGGCTCCAAGGGCAGGAAGGTGATTAAGGATCCCCGCTTCTCACTGACCACCCTTCCCGGGAGCAGGTGAAGTACTGGATCCAAGGTGACTCCGAGGCTGAAGCCCAGGTGATGGACAGCAAGGTACCTTCAGTGGAGCTCACCAACCTCTACCCATACTGTGACTACGAGATGAAGGTGTGTGCCTATGGGCCACAGGGCGAGAGCCCCTACAGCTCCCTGGTGACCTGCCGCACCCACCAGGAAGGTGAGGTTCACCTGTCCAGCCCTCCGTCTCCCACACTTGCCCACCCCCCCCCACTGACAGCTCTCTTATCTGCCCCTGTCCCCCCAGTACCCAGTGAGCCGGGGCGTCTGGCCTTCAATGTCGTCTCCTCCACGGTGACCCAGCTGAGCTGGGCCGAACCAGCTGAGACCAATGGCGAGATCACGGCCTACGAGGTCTGCTATGGCCCAGTCAACGAGGACAACCGTAAGGGCTGGGTCACTCTCCTGCCTTTGGGACAGCAGCCATGACAGGGCAGGGGCAGGAGTCAGAGGGAGGTCTGGGGCTTGGCTTGGGCCACTCAGATCTGCTGTGTAGGGGGCTGAAGGCTTCCATTCTGGTGGCCTGAGGCATCAGTAAGTTCAGGTCAAATTTGGGCTGGTTTGTATCCAAGGCCATGGGCAAACCTCTCATGAGGTACGGTGGGGCAGAAGGCCTGAGATTATCAAACGCGGCGACATCTTCCCATACCATGGTTCTCGAACACCCAGAGCGGAGTTACCAGATTTAGCAAAAACACAAAACCAAAACCAAACTCACTGCCATCGAGTTGATTCCAACTCATAGCGACCCCCTCTGGGTTTCTGAGATAGTAAATCTTTATGGAAGCAGATTTCCCAGTCTTTCTTCCCAGGAAGTGGCTGATGAGTTTGAACCGCCAGCCTTCCAGTTAGCAATCAAATGCCTTAGGCACTACGCCAGCAGAGCTCCTTAGCAAAAACACAGGACACCTGGAATTTCAGATGAATTGTTTTTCACTATGTCTCCTGCACCTGGTAGACTGTTATTGTTTCCCAGCCCTGGAAGGGAGGAAGGGAAGGCATCTGTCAATTATCCAGATGAGAAAGTGTTAGAGGGAAGTTAGTCCCACCTCTCACCTGGGTCAGGGATTGCCCCCTCCTACCCTCAACTTTGCTTGGTTAGTCCCAGTGATGAGGAGCTCACTACCCCAGAGCAGCTGTTGTGCTGGAGCCAAAATTTTTGTGACTTCCTGCCACTGAGAATGAGTCTGTCCTCTGCCACATGGTCTCCCGCCAAGAATTTGAGAATAGCCCTCACCCCTCACTTCTCTCTTGGCTAAATATTAATAACAAAAGCCTCTGATGATCACCTTTACCTTTTTAATCCGCGTGGCAACTCTGTGGGAAGTAGGATGGAGGACCCCCATCTAACTCCCACTCAGGGACTTGTCCAGGGTCACACCCCAGGAAGGGGCAGAGCCAGAGTGGGTATCCGTTTCTCAGCTCCTGTATATAACCTGTGGCCCCTCCGTTCTGCTCTCCGGAAGGGCAGTGGGGCTGTGCTGGGCGTCAGCCTCCTAGGTGAGGGTGCTCAGAACGGAAGAAGTAGGCGGAGCAAGCCCCAGCCTTCTCAGGAGCTGTATCGCCCTCAGCTCCTTCTGAGTTGACAGGTTCTCGTCCACCCACTGAGTCTTTGGTGGTACAAACGGTTAACACACTCAGCTGCTAACCAAAACGTTGGAGGGTCTGGTACACCCAGAGAAGCCTTGGAAGAAAGGCCTGGTGATACCCTTCTGAAAAGTCAGCCCCCAAAACCTTACGGGGCACAGTTCTACTCTGATGCTCATGGTGGCGCCATGAGTGCGTGCTGATAGGCCCCCACTGACCAGAAGTGACTTGTATCTTCCAATGTTTATCCCTGACAGTTTCTGCCCACGGCCTTGGCGGTCATGGATGTACCTACTGGGCAGCCCTCCTAGCCTACGGGCAGCTACAGTGGGTGGCCAGATGGGCCAAGGGCAGCCTCTTCCAGGCTGACAGGCCTCCATCAATCAACTCTGAGAACAGGGTTTTCGGGTGGGCGGTAGACATCAAGCTTACCAGTTGTCATTTTCCAAAACCTCCCTCTGCCCTTTTTCTGGTCTCCCGTCTTCTGCCGATTCTCTGTTCCCCTGTCTTGCAGCCCAGCAGCCCAGCAGCCCAGCTCGTGGGGGGTGGGCCTTGGTTCTGCAACTGAGCAACTGCTGCAGAGGGACAGGGGCTCCCCCTCTGTTCCCTGGCAGCTGCATGTCTGCCCTTCCCAGTGTGAGGTCCCTGGCCTGTCCTCTGCCCACGGGACAGCCACCAGCTCTCCTTCGTCACCCAGCACCCCTCCACCTTCACGCCTTCCCCTCCACCCTTAGCGCCCACAAGCCTCATTCATCTTGAATTCCAGTCTCCTGAGGCCACTTGCTCACACGGGGACAGCACCCTGTGGGCAGCCATGGGGGTCCTCTCTCAGCAGACCAACAGGGATTTGGTGTGGATGCCCTCACTTGGAGGCACTTTGGACACATCTGCCTGTGGGGAGAGGTGAAAGCCAGCCTAGCTGGAGTCCAGGCCTGGCTCTGTCGCCAGTGAAGTGCCCTCTGGAGGGAGGGTGACCCTTCTTGTGGCAGGAGCTTCATAAACTCATGCTCCTCGCCTTGCTCTCTGCACCTCAGGGAGCCGTCCAAGGGCTGCAGGGTGGTTCTGCTAGGTCAGGCGGGGCTGGGACTCTGAAGCACCCTCTCCGCCCTAGAGCCCATCGGGCCCATGAAGAAGGTGCTGGTGGACAGCCCCAAGAGACGGATGCTGCTCATTGAGAACCTGCGAGAGTCCCAGCCCTACCGCTACACGGTGAAGGCGCGCAACGGGGCAGGCTGGGGGCCCGAGAGGGAGGCCTTCATCAACCTGGCCACCCAGCCCAAGCGGCCCATGTCCAGTGAGTAGAGGCGAGGAGGCAAGGGGTGCACGGGGCCAGCAGGCCGTGACTGGGCTCGGGCTCACTCCTCCCTCCCTGCAGTCCCCATCATCCCCGACGTCCCCATCGTGGACGCGCAGAGTGGGGAGGACTACAACAGCTTCCTCATGTACAGTGACGACGTCCTGCGCTCCCCAGGAGGCAGCCAGAGGCCCAGCGTCTCCGACGACACTGGTGAGTGGGCCTGGGGACTATGTTACTGGTGTCCTGAGAGAGAGGCCTGTGACCACTGGGCATGGCAGCCAAGACTAGACATGCCTTCTGAGTCCCAGGCAAATACTAGCTGAGCCCACAATCTGACAGGCACTGTGCTGGCAACAAGGACATAGAGGGGATAAGACAGACATGGTCCATGTGCAATCGTGTGCACACCCGTGTACGAGGGCATCCATACAACTTGGGTACAGATGCACACAGGCTCCTACGTGTGTGCCTTCACACACATGGGCCAGGCAGAAACAGCTTCGTGGCTCCAGGGCTCACAGGCTGTGCCATGGAATGGGATACTTGGAGTAAGGCTATGATGGGAGGAAGCAGGCATGGCCCGAGAGTCCCTTCGCAGCCACCAGGCCAGTGCCAGTGAGGTAGTGCCACACCACACACACATACACAGTGGCTGTGTGCCTCTCTTCCTGAGTCCGAGCACAATGAGGGGGAAAGAGCCCCCAGCTGGGGCGCCTGAGCTGAGTCTTAGCTTTGGCCCCACTGTGGGACATCAGGTGAACTCCGGAGCCTCTCTTTGCCTCAGTCTCCTGATCTGTAAAACGGGACACCAGACACACCATGCTCTGAGTCAAAATTATCTGGAGCACATTTAGAGAG